GTCCGTTCGCTGCTTGAGACGTTTAATCACAGGCAAAGTTAAAGTGTGTTGACATTTATTTACATGAAAAAGCATGTTAATTTATTAAGGCTAACAGAAAGTGTGCTTCGTCCCCTTGGGAATTGGGAACCTGTGACAGTTTGTACATTAGAGTTATTCATCAAGTGGTGATTAAGAGTTTATTTTTAATTTGCACAAATGAATATGTGCCAATAACTATTGACCAAACTTTATAAGGAGGAAATTAATCTGAGACAGGTATTAAAATATTGTCTAATTTCCCCATCTGGAATGAGCTGTTTAACATGTTTCAAAGGATTTGAGGTAATGGAAAACCATGGGAAAAAGTATTGAAGAACTGGAAACGGAGAGAAAATTGAGCACAGCAGTGTTACGCAAACAGTCGTGGATTGAGTGACCAAATTGTTTGTTTATTTTTTGAAGGGATAATTACCCCTGGAAAAGCGATCCGCCAATCGACTAAAAAACAGTTCCTACTTACTGCGAGGTAACCAGAGGCATGTGGAGTAAGGAAACTGCCCAATGTTTCACCCCGCGTGGGAAACAAATTTAGGTCCACTCGCTTGCGAGGCAAGTGCTCTAACCAATACCCAACAGGTCTCTGAAAAGATAAAGACATCGAATTTTATATAGAACATTGCCCAGAATCACTAAATGAAAATTGTTGTGAATAAAAGTAAACAACATATTGATCCATTGGAGACTTTTGTCTCCAAGCCTCATAGTATGGAGCTGCAAACAGGAAACAAGCTTGGGCTTTTAAATGTCATAGTAGTTCCTGGTGATAAAAGAAGGCTTGAATGTATTTCCGTATCTATTATTTATTCATTTTCTCTCTTACTACCTTCCTCCTGCCTGAGCCAAAGTGCTAGTTATTCTGCTGCTAAACCACTATACACAGGGCACACGTTGGCCTATATCTGTCTGTTTGTACTGTCAGAGAATGTTTAGTGACAATCGATCATGATATCAGGTTTGACACGTTAATAAAAGATAGTGCCAACACCAGCAGGGTTAGCACGGTTGATTTAAAAAATAGGAAAGGTTTAGAGGAGAGAGAGAGAGAGAGAGAGCGCGAGTTCCCTATCTCTTTGTAGGGAAGTGGATTGATTGCCTTGCCTGAAAAGTCTTATGAGTGGCCTGACCTAGATCAGGAAATTCACTGTGCAAGTGATAGACATTGCCTGACTATCATTTGATTCACAACGTCTATGCAAATCAATCCAATGTGTCAGTGAGCTAGCTGGCTTATGGGTGAATTGTCAGCAAGTCATTCCCTCCAGTTTTAATGAAGGAGAATTCTTAATCCCGAGCATATGATGACTAACTGAGACAAGAGGGAACAAATATGTGGAGAAGGTTAAACGTTAAAAAAGAGTGAATGTAACTAAACCGCTGAATTGATCGAGGCTAAAAGGTTACAACACGTGGTTCACGAGAGGATGCTTTAGGGATTTGAGTACATTTTTACGGTAATATTTTCACTAAAACAATGTATAATTTATCACACGTTCACACATTCTGGCAGTCTAGCTGTCACAGGAGTCAAAGCATGTGTTGACTCACATACCTAGAAGATCGTGAACATTTGCAAATATTTCTTTCATTTCCATATAATGCTTCATTCAAAACAGTAATTTGGTACGAATTATGCACAATTTCCTTCTGTTGCCTTCCACACTCTGTGCTGCTTTTAGCTATGTTCATTTGTATTGGTTTGGGTGCTGTATTTCTGCCCCTTATTATTGCACATTGATAAAACGTCAACCAACTTCCCATTGGATGGCAACTGCGTGGAGCTAAAAAGTAATCGATTGGTGTTTTCAGCTTTAATATCTAAATATAAAATCATATTTTTTTCACCTGTTGTGATTTTTTTAAGAAATACAGTAAAAGCAAATCGGTCCATGTTCAATTATATACCATGTTTGTCTTTAAAATCCATCCCCCAAATCCTCGTCCTCGCCTTCAAACCTCACCATCGGTGGTCAGGCCTTCAGCCTCTCTGCCCCCACCCTTTGGAATTGCATCCCCCAGTCCCTTCGCCTCGTTCCCTCCCTCGCCTGCTTCAAGGCACGACTCAAGACCCTCCTCTTTGACCGCGCCTTCGGTCACCCTCCTACCCCCGGCCCTCCCCACCCTCCACCCCTCCTGATCCCAACCCCCAGCTCGGGTCCTAATCCCTGACTGTCCAACGCCTTGGGACGTCCTCCCGACAGGAAAGGCATTTAGTGTTATTATTTAAAAATGGCAAGTCTCCAAAAGCAGCGAGCAGGGGAACAGAATTCCCGTGGGAGAGTGAGAACCAAAGTGGGAGGATTTTTCACCGGGGCAAACTTAGGTATTGGAATCCGGCGTTGATGTACTCTCGCAGGTTGAGTTAATTCTAATTGATCTAAATTTACAATCCCGCCCGTGACAATGAATCATCTGTGTTTTTTTCCAAAAAAAAATGATTTAGCTCTCGTTGAAATCGGCAAGGTCACATTGTAAAGTTTCCAAATCTAGTCCATCCTTAGTATACCTATAGGATACTGTGGAATGAAGCGATCTAGTTATAGTCAGTGTGAGTAGGGCTTTTTACCAACCTATTTCCACATGTTATTTCAAAAAAAAAACATTTAAAAATTCAATATTGCAAAATAAAAGCCAGTGGTGAAAACCATTCAGCCACTTAAAAAGGGGTCTCTGTATGTGGCAGACACCCGGCTGACTTAAAAAAAAAATAGCATCTCAGACCATTTAAAACTCTAGACAGTTTCCCCCAACGCACACACGCAAACTTAAGAGAGAACCCCATCATATCAAATTGAATTACTCTCTTTATTACATTCCGGTATCCTTGAGACAAAGAGACAGAGACGTCCCTAGACTGTACCTTGACAACTGGAAAACAAAAAACTGGACTGAAGACTCTCCCACATGGACGCGCAGGTGGTCCGACATGTATAACCCATTTTATCTCGTCAGGAGTAACAGGACGACGAATGAGGATTAAGTACTTTACATACTGTAAAACGTAAAATGTAGTCTAAATCTATACTTTGAATTGGATTGAGATAACAATGTGAATATGACGCACAGTTATCCGTATCGAGCCCGATGTAAGCCTCACTCAGTCGATCAAAACTATTTTAGAGTCGCATTTCTTTATTGTTACCCTATCAGCGACTTGGCAGCGGACGTGGACTACGGTCGACAATGCACTCGCTGTTTGGCAACCGCAGATAATGGCCGATTCGCGGCACTTATGCTGTAAATCGGTAAGGCATATTTTGAACTCAGCAACCACCTCATCTCAGGGGACACGTGTGCAAGTGGCTGCCAGAAAGGCGGAAGGCGAACTCGATGGACCCTCGTGCTTTTTTCCTCTACCACCTTCTTAGGTTCTTATCTCCATTTTGAGGAGACACCATATTGTGGAGTCCTGTAGCTCAGTGGTTAGAGCACTCGGCGAGCGAGCGAGAGGGACCTGGGTCCGATTCCCCGGCAAGTTTGACAAATTTCTTAACTTCACTTGCCCATGTTTGCCCAGCAGTAAGTCAGAACCCGGTTGTTAGTCGATTGGCAGATCGCTTTCCGGAATAATAATCCCTTAAAAAAAGAATTTGGTCACTCACTCAATCCACAGCTGTTTGGGGGACGCTGCTGTGCGCAATTGGCTGCCGTGTTTCGCGCCTTATCAAGTCTTCGAGATGGCTCAAAGAGCTTCACAGAATATACCATCAAGTGGATTGACTGCGTATTTTGTGGGCGAAAAAAGTGGCAAGAAGATTTTTTGGGGTTCAAACGAAAATAAAACCGCCCCCAAAGAAATAAGAAGAAAGCGAAGCAAAAGCCCAGCGTTGCTCGCTCGCTCGCTCGCTTGGCTGCTGCTCTGCAAGTACACACTGCGGCCGCGGCGATGATGGGAATAACCTCAGGGGAAAAAAGGAGGCGACGGTAAAAGAGATTTTATTTTACGGGCACCAAAGCATCGTCAGTGTCGTCAACCGAGGACGTCTCCCGAAGCGCAGGCTAACGGACGCGGTTGTGAATCGGTCCGCGGCCGACAGGCGTGAAGGCGGTGTTGTTGCCGAGGACCGGGAGGAAGTGATCTGCGGTGTCGCAGTGTCTCCCATCTGCCGCTGTTAGCGTGTTGGGATGTGGGGCCACCGGGTAGGCGAGCGCAGCGACCGCAGACTGCACCGGACCGACGGCGCGCAGACGCGCTCCTTCGCTTGAGTCCGACCGGTCATCGTTTTAATTGGTGACCGTGCGGAGAGCCCTCTCTGATGTCTGCTGCTGACGAGGGGATTCTCCGAACCCCTCGGCAATCCGGCCGGCCTCACACACTCATAACAACAACAACAACAACAATAATAACGACAACAATAATAACAATACCAATAATAATAACGACAACAATAATAACAACAGTAACAACAACAATAATAACGACAACAATAATAACAATACCAATAATAATAACGACAACAATAATAACAATAACAGTAACAACAATAATAATAACGACAACAATAATAACAACAGTAACAACAACAATAATAACGACAACAATAATAACAATACCAATAATAATGACAACAATAATAACAATACCAATAATAATAACGACAACAATAATAATAACAGTAACAACAACAATAATAACGACAACAATAATAACAACAGTAACAACAATAATAATAACAACAATAATAAGAATAACAACAATAACAATGTAGCCTGTGTGGGGGGGTGTGGGGGGTATTGGGGTATTGGGGTGTGTGGGGTATTGGGGTATTGGGGGTATTGGGGGGTATTGGGGTATTGGGGTGTGTGGGGTATTGGGGTATTGGGGGTATTGGGGGTATTGGGGTATTGGGGTATTGGCGGTGACAATGGCGGCCGCGCTGTCAGACCTGATGTGCCGAGTGCCGGTGGGTGGATGTGGGGGCGGGGCTCCGGGCGGTGACTCGGGGCTCGATGGCACAGGCGGTCACCAGGACAACGGCGGAGTACAGCGGCGCACAGGGCCATGGCCGACAAGGACAGCCCCACACTGGTGAGGGGGGAATGGGGGGAGAGAGGGGGAATGGGGGCGGATGGGGGGAGAGGGAATGGGGGGGAATGGGGGGAGAGAGGGAATGGGGGGGAATGGGAGGAGAGGGAATGGGGGGAATGGGAGGGAGAGGGAATGGGGGGGAATGGGGGGGAGAGAGGGAATGGGAGGGAATGGGGGAGAGAGGGAATGGGGGGGAATGGGGGAGAGAGGGAATGGGAGGGAATGGGGGGGAGAGAGGGAATGGGAGGGAATGGGGGAGAGAGGGAATGGGAGGGAATGGGGGGGGAGAGGGAATGGGAGGGAATGAAAGGGAATGGGGGGGGAGAGGGAATGGGAGGGAATGAAAGGGAATGGGGGGAGAGGGAATGGGGAGAGAGGGAATGGGGGGAGGGGGAATGAGAGGGAATGAAAGGGAATGGGGGGGGAGAGGGAATGGGGGAGAGAGGGAATGCGGGGAATGGGGGGGAGAGGGGGAATGGGGGGGAATGGTGTGGGGGAGAGAGGGAATGGGAGAGAGGGAATGGGGGGAATGGGGGGAGGGACAGGGAATGGGGGGGAGAGCGGGAATGAGGGAGAGAGGGGAGGGAGGTAACTGCTGGAGTCTAACCAGCCAAATCCGCGTAGCTTACCATTGATGTCACTGTCCGGCTGGCTTTCCCGCTGCTTGTCCGGCTGGCTTTCCCGCTGCTTGTCCGGCTGGCTTTCCCGCTGCTTGTCCGGCTGGCTTTCCCGCCGCTTGTCCGGCTGGCTTTCCCGCCGCTTGTCCGGCTGGCTTTCCCGCCGCTTGTCCGGCTGGCTATTATGAATGCAAGTTTTTGTTGCACGTTAAGTTCGCTGTCCTGTGTTTTTATTTCCAACAAAAAAAACCCCACTTTTTTTTTATTTTCTGGCAGGCTTTGATCAATTATTACTGCCAAGAAAAATACTTCAATCATATCCAGATCGCTGCAAACGAAGGCCTCAAGAAATACGGAAATGATCCTGTCTTCTTATTTTTCCGGGCTTTCGGAATCCTTATGGAAGGTAATTGATGGCAATCTTCGTTTGGGGCTTTCACATGATCTATAATAATAATAATCCTGGCATTCGATACAGCATCACATCTTCGAGACGTCTCAAAGCGCTTCACGGGATACACTGTAAAGTGAATTGACTGTGTATTTTGTGGGCAAAAGACGGCAGCCGATTGCGCACAGCGGCGTCTGTCCCACAAACAGTCGTGGGTTGAGTGACCGAATTCTTTTATTTTTTTTGAAGGGATTGAAGGGAAGGTTTACTTCAAATTTTTCAGATTTGTTCTTTTTATTTCTCACGTGTAGATCGAGTCCAGGAAGCCATCCGTGAGCTTGAGTTTGTCAAGGACAAACAGGACGTGTCGCTCTGCTGCATAATGGCTCTAATTTACGCTCATAAAAAATGTGCCATTCCAGGTGAGTATGTGCCTCCCGAAAGCCAGGGATTGAATTGAATGGCGCGTTTTCACTTTGTGCAACAACATTAAAACTGTCAATATATTTTGATGTTTCATTCTGGTTGAGCGGACTGGTAATGTTGCAAATAAAACCGGATGTTTGTAAACCACCTTCAGCTCACTCAAAACATTTGTTTTCTGTTATTGTTTGCATTGTTTTTCTTAGGTATATATCAAAACAATGGTAAACAATTCATCTCCATGCCTGTGTTTCAATTGGTTACATCCATGTTTGCTGATAAATGAAAGATTAAACTGCCCCGCAATGTCTATTTGTTTTCATTTTGTGCCCATGCTACACACCATTTTGATACTGCAGGCTGGCGGGCTCTGCTAAGCCTAATCTGCAGCTTGGAGTGCACAAGATTCCCATAGGCTGATTTCCCTTTTAAATCTTTCAGTACGTATTCTCCCACAACTTGTTCGCAATATTTTTTTTTGCCTGTTTCATAGCTCTGTCTTGAGCTGAGAACATTATCCATAATTCTTATTTGTTTCCGAAACCCTCCATGAGTCCTCTGCCCGGACTTAACCAGATTTGGCAGCTAAATGTTATCATAATGAAACCATCAATTAGAGTCTATTGATCACGTCTGAAGACCTTCCTCTTTGATTGTACCTACGGACACCATCCCGACTTCTCCCCCCCACCCCCCAGCTGTTTGGGGCTCCGTCACTGTTAAACACTCCTAAATGCTTCCCTGTGTGAAGTGCGCTATATAAATGCAAGTGTTTGTTGTAAGAAGCTCTTTCATTAAAAAAATGCAGTAGGAACAAAATACATAAGAGAAGATAGCGGAAAATTCAGTCCAGTTCAGTCACACAAGTTCTAAACTTTTTTTTTGACATGAACGAAAGATCGTGATGCCATTCAAGAACTTGATGGCAAACTAAAAGAGGATCGTAAGACGGCAGGACAGATGGCGTTATATTTTGCAGGAGTTTTCCTGTGGCATATTGGACGCCATGACAAAGCTCGTGAATACATCGACAGAATGATTAAAGTTTCTAATGGAGCGAGAGAGGTTAGACCACTTTCCTCATCACTTAAACGGTATGGCAGGAGCTTGAAATGTGATAACCTTGGGTTTGAATTGGAAGTTGTATTTCTACATTTTTCAACTGTAGGTGAGCTATTAGTTCAATAAATGTTTTTTGGGGATGCTTTGCTATCTCTTCATTACTTTATTGACAATATGCTTAGGTGAGCATTGTGTCCAAAGGTATTCAATCAGCTGAAAATTGATTGAATTCAGAACTAAAAGTTTTGATGAGCCATAGTGCTTACATGTCAGTCACAGGGAAACTAGACTTGGGCCTCAGACATTCTACTTTGTTCTAAGTGAATCTGAATTTGTAATGACGTATGCATTGTTGGCATAATTAGTTTATGAATGTATTACTGTTACAGGGGCTGATCTTGAAAGGCTGGATTGATTTAACCAGCGGGAGAGATGCCTATGCTAAAAAGGCTGTCAAATATTTTGATGAAGGAATGCATGATGGAAAAGATCCATTTGCTATGATGGGAAAGGTAAGTTTCGAATGAGAATCAAAAGAATTGTAATACAGTAGAAAAAACTGTCTCCCATGTCCTCTACTAACTCAGGCCAGCTCCATGTCCCTTGCTCCTGTACCCCACCACAGGTGCGTAAACCTTCAGCTGCTTCTCTGCTGCTCTCTGGAACTCCCTACATTCACTCACAGTCATGATACTCGGTAGAAGCTTGTGAAGTACTTTAAGACGTGCTCAATGTTGTACGTGCTGTATCAAATGCAACAATTAGTAGTAAATCCCTACCCCATCTGTCCTCCCTGCTGTAAAACTCTTTTGAAAGTTCAACTCTTCCCTTTCCCCTTGTCTGTACCTCACTTAGGCACAGTACTTTGAGATGCGCCAGAACTACTCAGGAGCCTTGGAAATGGTGAACCAGATAATCGTTAACTTTCCCGGTTTCCTGCCTGCTTTAATAAAGAAGATAAAGCTCCAGCTTGCCTTACAGGACTGGGAACAGACAATCGAGACAGCACACAGGTAAACTGTAAGCTGCCTTATTGCACATCTGGCATCTAAAAAGTGCTTTAGCTGTGTCACCCCTGCATAGACCCTCAGCAAAGACCCCTGCAAAGTTGCCATTCTAGGAAGCCCCTGTGTAGCACGTTGATAAAATCTTGGTTCGAAGCTGAATTCTCACAATTCTGCATAAGGGATTATACAGAGAAAATGCTGTTTATGTTGCTGTTACTGTACCTTTGCCGGTGGCCACAGCAATGACACAGCTAGAGCCCTTATTGGGCAACGAATATTAGTGCATTGTTCAGTTTACAGTAGCGGTGAACATAGTACCATTGCCATCCTTTTTTTCAAATAGAAAAAAGACTTGGTTATAAACTGTAATTTAACAAGAACTACAGCAACAACGAGAACTTTGGATGAATTCTGCCAAACCTTTCAGTGTGTTCTAATGAAATACATTGGCACAGTTGTTCCTGTTTTTCCCCCATTTCTAATAGAATGTTAATAATTTATAAATGAAACCTGTAAACATTGCCAATTAAATTGTGCTTTGGGATATTTATATAATGTCATTTCTGATGCATTTGAATTGTAAAGTATTGCATCTGTACAGGATCAAACAAGCTGGTATAACGTGTTGAAGTGAATAATAATGTACTATGAATTCTAGGCTGAATGATTGCTTAAGGAATGTCACCATTTAAAGGGATTAGGATTGACTAAGTATATTTACTGGTATGTTAATTTAAAACCTTTATTTTAAAATCGATCTCAGACTCTTACAGAAGGACAGTCAGAGTATTGAAGCACACAGGATGTTGGCTCTCCATTCATTATGCAGAGAAGGAAATGTTAAAGAGGTAAGCGCAGAAAGCAAAATCATTTATCTTCGACAAATTGTAAATGTTGTTGGAAGAGTGCTGCACCATTGTGTTGCAAAGGGAAACATTGTCAATCCACAGGAAGACAATCAGCTCCTGCAGGATGTTTTGTTGTATCTTTACCAATTAGTAAGTGATTAATTGCACTATCATCATGGATCAGATTCAGACGCTGAGCAATATTGTCGTTTCGTTTATTTTTTTTATCTGTTCAAGTACTTTGCTTGTGGCACTTATTCCATATCACTGCTTTCACGTTACTTCCTTGGTTTATTTATCAATGTTTCTTGAGGGAAAGGATTAGTAAGATTTAAATCAAACCTATCTTGTACGGTGTAAAAGCCTTATGCCATTGGACAATGTTAGTCCTGTTCTTGAAACAGAGTCAGTGTTTGTATCTGTGACAGTTTGCGAACAAAAGTAATTTTAAACACAAGAACTGGCAATATTTGCATACTTCTAAGTGGAAGATATCCAACAAGCTTAACAGTGAAACAGAATTGTGGGTTTAACCTTGCATGCAGTATTAAAACTACAGTATACTCTTGTCAGATAGATAGCCTCCCTTAAGATAATTTTACATTCATGGCAGCCAGTAAGTGCAAGTGTAATGGAGGGGATGGGAGCGGTGTTACGAGTTAGGTGATTAATACAAGTAAGACAAAGAAATCTAAGTGGTTTTGATAAGAAAGTGATTGAGTGAATGTACGACTTAGGTAATTATACGATTTATAAAGATAAGACTTGTGTGAGTTTTACTGTAGTGTTACTATGAAAATTAAGTGAACTGGAATTCATGTTAGTTATTGAACCTCCTTTAGGCTGCCAATAGACTTGGCGATCTGATTGGTATCATGGACCGGTTTGAACCTCACAATCCTGAGCTTTTCTCCAAATTGGCATTGGTATTTAGTAGGACGGTAAGTTCATTTATGTTTTGAAACATGTTGCTGCTGTGTCACTGTTGAGGCTTGCATTTTGAATTGAGCGCCACCAATTCATTCAGCAAGATCAAAGTTTAGTTGTCTATAAAGCTACATACGTAAGTTTAAAATTTAAATTACGAAGCTCGTCGATGTGAGTTATCAGTCTTGCAACTTTGTGAGTTACCAATCTTTGCACGTTGCATGTTAACTTAGTGTGGACGGAACCAGATGATCCTACAGCAGACCTACACTTTGGTCGAGAGGGCATTTCGCTTGGCGTCGCACGATTCGGAGCTCGCAAATGAACTTGGCTACCAGATGGTTCTACAGGGGAAAATAAAAGATGCTGTAAAGTGGTACAAGACTGCAATGTCTTTGGATGAAACAAGTGTCCCCGCGTTAACTGGTATGATGTGATCATTATGTGATTAGTTCTATGCTGAAATATAATAATATCATAATATTTGAACAGAAGGAAGGACTGGCAAATGCATCTTTGTTGGTTTTCTGCTCACCTGAAAAAAGTTGTCAAATGATTTGAAAATAATATATTGTAACTAGATGTTGCAGAGCTCAACGGTGCTTGCTAGTTTGCTAAAATAGAATTGAAGTTTTAAGATGTTGAAATATCAATTAGTATCAATAACTTTGTAGACACTTAGACTTCTGTTGAATAATGAATACATAGGAGTAACTGATCGAGGGGTTCGGTTATATCGAAAAGAATGGAAGTTGAACCTCGTGGAACGTAACTTTCATCCAGTTTTGAGATTCGTTCTTTGTTTTGAAAATGTTATAAGGTTTTTATGTGGAATTTATGTTCAGGTTTAGTTAATGCTATTGTGTCAATCATAATATTGATAATGGTTTGCATATGCAGATCCATGTTTGAGTAACAATTAATACAGATCCTTTGAGAAATTTGCAAGAAACCTTAAGCACTACTTTTTTGAATGTATTTTGTACCTCCAGGTATTATCAAATGTCAGCTGATTGAAGGACAGTTAGAAGATGCAGAGCAACAATTAGAATTCCTGAAAGAAATTCAGCAATCTATAGGAAAGTCTGGGGTGAGTTAGCAATGTCTACGTGACATTTTATATCAGTCTTTATCCGGAATTTCCTCCAAGGAATGTTTTGTTCATAATTGGAAACTAACTTTGAAAAGAAAGAGCGATTGTAAGATTGCAAAGGATGAAGAAAAAGTGCTCTTCTCTCTCATTTAGGAGCTGTCTTACCTGCGTGCAGTTTTGGCAGTAAAGAAGCAGAAAGGACAGGATGAAGTCATTAATTTGTTGAATGACGCCGTGGACACTCACTTCTCCTTACTGCAAGGCCTGCCTCTGGGTGTTCAGTACTTTGAACAATTGAACCCTGACTTTTTACTAAAAGTTATACGAGAATACCTTGTCTTTTGTCCCACACAGGTAAAAGGTTAACATTGAATTCAATTTTACCTATTAGACATGAGGTGTGATAACTTTCGAAAAATACAGACTGCACTCTAAAAATGTAAAATATAAGGATATAGGCTGGAGAGTTTCTTTCACCGCTGATCTGTTTTGATCTGTTACTCTCGAAATAATTGATCTTAAGGTTTGACAATCTGATATACGTTTACGCATATTTGAAAAAAAAATTTTTAAAAGATGTTTCAGGAAATCGTTTTGTAAATATTTTGAATTTATCCTGCTTTGTATCATTTAATATAGATTTTATAGTGAGCATCATTGCACTGGTATTCTTTTGCCTTGACAATCCAATGTCTTTTAGCCTACAGCACCTGGCCAGCCTCCCTCTCCGTTGCTCAAGCATTGTGCTTCATTACTGGAGACTGTAGTAAAGACAGTGCCGGGGCTGCTTGAGGCTGCCTTTTTAATGGCCAGAGTCAAATACTTGGCAGGTACTAAATGATTCTATTACTTCTATTTAGTATGAAAAACATTTAATATTTTAGTAGTTCATATAATATTTTTTTTCTGTGATTTATGAGCGTAACATTTTGCTTAAAGCTTGTCTTAGATGATTGTGTTAGACGTTTACCCAAATTTATACCTTTCTCACACAGATCTGTCAAATAATTTGATACAGCCAGCACTAGGTCTTACAAAATCACATCCCAGGCTAAGTTGCCTTATCTCAGCTGGAGAAGGTGTAACTGAAAGGCCATAGAATAAACAACAACGTGCATTTACCCACTCCACGCAGGTTAACGTCGCAGAGCGTTTAACAGTGGCGGAGCCTAACTGGATGATTTGACAAGTATCATTTATTGTGATCTATGTAGTTCAGCTGCGATTAATTTAGTGTTTTTATTATTATTTTTTTAAAAAGGTGAAATCGATGGTGCTGAAAGTAGCCTCCAGCACTGCTTGGAACAAAGTCCTTCGTACGCAGACGCTCATCTGTTGATGGCTCAAGTCAACCTTTCTCAAGGCAATTATAAACTCTGCTCACAGTCCCTGGAGTTGTGTTTGAGCTACAATTTTGAGGTAATAGAAGTGAAATAGAATTAGTAAAGTCATGCGTTCTGATTTAAAAATATTTCTAGATATTTTATTTAACATGCAACAAGTTTGAAAAGTCCTTCCTTTCAGTCAATTGTTTTCTTAAAGTCTGAGAACCAAGGTTTATCGAGTCACCAGACAACTCAGGTTAGAGGAAGTCATGCTGACATTTTGGCACTAGGTAAGAGGCAAATCTACATTTAAGACATGTGCAACCTGCGCTGCTGGCTGTCTTAGATTTGGCTTCCGTTGACACTATCTGCAAAGCAGTTACCTGGTGTAGCTTGCCTCTAGGTTTTTAATAACATATTTCCCTGATCCGGCTAAGGTACAAGTTGGATTTTTAGCAGATCAGTCTTGCAGAAGTTCTCAATGGCCGGCAATTTTAGAAAGAAAAAGATACACTGGAGATGATTTTAAAACTTGAATTCAGTTCACTTACTCTGTTAATTTCACTCACTCTGAAGTATTTCCCTCCCCCTTCCCCCCAGGTTCGTGAATATCCCCTGTATCATTTAATTAAAGCACAAACTCAGAAGAAGATGGGTGAAGTGCAGGAAGCCATTAAAACCCTGCAAGTGGCTACCACGTTACCTGCAATGAGGAAGTCTGGCAGTGCTTCAAAATTGAAAGGCAAAAAAATTGAATTTAGCACCACCGATCGTGTTTCTGTGTTCTTGGAACTGGCAGATGCTCACCGTCTAAACGGAGAACAGGTACAGAAGAGCAAGTCTTGATAATAATAATAATAATAAATCCTTGTATTTGATATAGTGTTTTATCACACCATTGAGACGTCTCAAAACTCTTCACAGTTTCTTCCCATGCCGCTCGCCTCATGGCTTCTTGTGAGATCTTTCAATTGGCTGCCCTGTGTTTCGCCCACAAAACTCACAGTCACTCCACTTTACAGTATATTCTCTGAAGCACTTTGAGACGTCTTGAAGACGTGATAAGGCGCTGTATCAAATGCAAGGATTATTATTATTATTATGTTTGCCTGCATTCCCTGCACTTGACAGTAATTATGAGCGAAGTTCATTGATTAGGTGCTATGACATGCCAGATCTTTCTTATTTAAAAGAAAGTGTCAGAACTTCCCTAATTGTAATTTCTAAGTTGGCCAACAGTCAACTTAATATAAACACAGATAAAACTAGAATTGTTTCGAATTCACAGCTTATTTTAATAGTAAATGATTATTAAATTATTCAGCTTTCTGTTCAGTGAAATACGACATTTTCTGAAGATTTCACTGTGCCACGTACAGAATCTTCTGCTAATGTCTGACAATAATTAAGTCTTTGTTGTATTTCTATAGCATGAAGCTGCCAAAGTGATGCAAGACGCCATCAATGAATTTTCAGGCACTGCTGAGGAATTGCGTGTCACAATCGCCAATGCAGACCTCGCTGTCTTAAGAGGCGATGTTGAACTGGCACTCAGTATGCTTCGAAACGTCACACCCGAGCAGCCTTATTATATTCAGGCAAAAGAAAAAATGGCTGCTGTATACCTAAATCACAGGAAGGATAAGCAGTTGTATGCAAGCTGCTACAGGTGACAGCTTTATTTTGTTCCGTACACCGTGAAATATTTTGCGTACTTCGATCTTAAAATGTTTACATCAACTAGCAGCTTGAGAGAGCTCTGCTCTGGCGCTGCCGGCCTTTAGAAGGGACAAAGTAAAAGATAAAGATGTCAAAGAACGTATTTAAAAAGAGAAGTGATGGGATAATTAATCATTCACATGTGACGGACATTGTTGAACATAGATTGGCTGCCACATTCACATACAGACATACAGTTACTCTACTTAACAGTAACTTCTGTGAAGTATTTTAAGATGTCTTGACATAAGTCATTTTATTAAATGCGAGAATTATTATGAATACAGTGCTAAAGTTATTTTATCACAACATTTTAGTTGACGTGGCTGAGAGAACACTAATCTGGAATGCATATAGCTGACTATAACTACGCAAATTTATATCTTTGTTTTCAGGGACTTGGTTGATAAACTGCCAGGATGCCATACTTATCTCCTCTTGGGTGATGCCTACATAAATATTCAAGAGGTGAAATCTTTGTAGACATACTAACTATTATGGTAAAACATTTTTAAAAAAAGATTGGGACAGTCATCAAATATAGTTGAGGTGATCTTGATGAACTACATTGCATGTAATTTTTCTGAATTAATTGTTAATGTAGCCATGCTGCACTTGCAGGATCATAGTGGTTTCTGAGATATGTACAATTGCATTAACTTGTCATCTCTGTTGGGCTGCCACTATGTGAAGATATTTAGAAGTTAATATAAAGAATGTGACAGATTCCGTCATTCTTTGATGGTTTACCAGAAATTGATGTAGTGATATTTCTGTGCACAGAACATGGACATTGAACGTAACACGATACATCTCTTAATTGTATTCAAGCTCTGTACATGGGTGACGTGAGGCTTAATTTTCTCTTTAGTAAAGTTAAGTGGCGTTGGTTTGATTTGCTATTCACCGGAAAAGTTATGTGGTGTTGTCTCTTAGCAGAGCTTGCAATTCTGTGAACGTCAGAATATCTCCCATTTCATTACAGCCAGAAAAAGCGATTGAAGTATATGAACAAGCTTTAAAGAAAAATCCAAGAGATGGAGCTTTGGCTAGCAAGATTGGAAAAGCTCTTATTAAAACACATAATTATGCCAAGGTGTGTTGTAAAATTTGTTCTACAATTCTGGGGTAGAATCCTTCAAGTAGGAACATTTCTCAGACTGTACAATAACATCGTGCACTTTGACATATGACAAACACTTGGTGCTAAAGATATTTCAGATTTCTTTTTGATCAGCAGGAAATTCATTGCACAAATGCACTCCAGTGGGTTTCACAAGGGCAGACTGTTTATAATGTGGTTGGGATAGTTTTGCACACAGCGCCCACTTACAATAACAACAAAAAATACATTTGTAAACTGCCTTTCACATCAGGGATCAGGATTTGTATGAAGTAAATGACTTCTGTAGGATAATGGGACAGAATCTGGGAAAGAGTAGTGGCAGCTTGGTCAGATGGGGAACTTCGATATGCTGAAACCTACTGATTGTTCTCACCTTTTGTTTTTAACTGAAGTTGCTCCTATCTTTATATCTCGCCAGGCTATTAGTTATTACGAAACAGCAGTGAAATCTGGTCAGCAAAACTTCCTTCGTTTTGACCTAGCTGAACTCCTTCAAAAACTGCGACAATTCGAGAAAGCAGAAAATGTTCTACTCCAGGCACTGGAACATGATCCTGGTATGAAGTGTGTGTTTGTGGGGGGGTGGGGGGGGTGGGTGAGGGAGGGCGGTAGAGGATGTTAACTAATAAATAAATGCATTCAAACTTCATGACTTAAGAATACAAACTTTTACTTTAACTCTGATTTATGTGATTTATTTTTGCTGCAAAGGAGTGGTAAACTTTTGGGTTTAATAATAATAATAATCCTCGCATTTGATATAGCGCTTTTCACGTCAGGAGGACGTCCCAAAGCGCTTCACAGAACACACTGTAAAGTGAATTGACTGTATATTTGTGAGCAAACGCGGCAGCCAATTGCGCACAGCAATGTCCCACAAACAGTCGTAGATTGAAAATGACCAATTTATTAATGTTTGTAACTTCTACAGCTGTATTTGCACCTTAGTTGCTTTAATTGGTAGTTAATTCCCAATCAACACAATCAAAATTATTTTAAAAATAACCAATCAGTAATTAGCCAATTAGAACCCAATCACAATTGAACTCTTTTTAGTGTTGTATAATCTTTGTAACTGCCTCCATCGCTGGTGTGTTTGAAGAATGAATCCCTTTTTATATCATATTGTTTTTAATCTCCCTAAAACCTTTTGCAGTAAGTGATCTCCAAGCTTTAATAGAAGATGGACGATATTTAATACTTCTGGCAAAAATCTACAGTAAGATTGAAAACACTGATGGCGCCATACTTTCACTGCAGCGGGTAAATAATCTTATATTTTATTTTTATTTATTTCTTGGGTGAGAATGTAGCTTTTTCTAATAAAACTATATTGATAATACTTTGATAATAATTGATGATAATAACTATTATTTTAATATAATAAATTAATAATACCCAATACTTTCTGGAATTAGGTAAGCAGGGTGCGTCCCTCCAGGGAGAGAGAGAGAGAGAGAGAGAGCGCATTCTAACAATCTATCTCTGGGATTTCCACGTGTAGATGGGATGCATGGAATTCTCAGTTTGGTTTGGAGACCCTTAAGCAACGGTGATGAGTTCCCGCATGTGTCAGACACCCAGCTGACCCCCCGGAAAAAATAAATAAATTCAATATGCCTTCATGTGGGGAGTTCTTTTCACTCTGCGTCAAATGTACAAATAGTCATTTTATTTTATGGGATTTCAGAATTTGCACAGCTCTCTCTTACTCACTGTTCCTTTATCTTGTGCAGGCGCGGGAGGTTCAGGCACGAGTACTAAAGCGTGTTCAGTTAGACCAGCCAGATACAGTCCCCACCCAGAAGAAGCTTGCTGCGGATATTTGCGCTGAGATTGCAAAGCATTCGACAAACCAGCGGGATTACGAAAAAGCCATTAAGTTCTACAAAGAGGCGCTTGTGTATTGCGAGAATGATCACAAGGTTAGTCATATGGTTGCTAGGTGACTGAATATGACAACTCCAGATCTCTTGGACTGCCCTTCAATTTGACTGAGGACTCAAATCAGGGCACACACAAAAATGGAAAGGTGGCATCTCTATGAAGCCTGGGTAATGTAAAGTGCTAAATTAAAGTCCCCTAAATAAGGCTTTTGACTTGCTGATCTATGACTGCCTAATTAAGCTACTTATACCATATGCCAATTAGTTATCTGTCCAGCATGTATTTCATAGTGTGATGATGAATCATTCTTTTGCTAATGTTTGGCCTGTGACAGGTGATGTTGGAGCTTGCTCAGTTGTACCTTGCCCAGGATGATATTGATGCCTGCCAACACCAATGTGCTGTTCTCCTGAAGAGTGACCAAGATAATGATGCAGCCACCATGGTGAGTCAAGCAAAACTACATCCGAATGAATGTACCTCTGTGCAAAAGTTTCAGTTATGAAGAGAGACTGGAGAAGGTTAAAAGGTGACCTGGCAGGTCTTAAAAAGTGATGGTAGGATAAGTGGACTCTTGCTACGTTGTTCAGCGTGTATTATGGTTCTTCTTGTTGGTGACTTGGGTTCTTACTGCCATGGTACGTTTTCCAATTAAAGCATGGAAAAGACACTCTTGCATAGTCTCATTTTCTTTCATGAAACAGTGAATCTTTTCTGAACAACTTTCTATTGATGACCTTTTGTGCTCACTATACATTTACCTTAACTTTTAACAGGTTTTGTAGATTGGTTTTGTTTTATTGTTCATTGTAATTTAGTTTGTTGCCTTGTTTTGTATAGATGATGGCAGATCTGATGTTCAGAAAACAGGATTATGACCGGGCTGTATTTCATTTCCAACAACTTTTGGAGCGCAAACCGGGTAAATCAATTAGTTCACCCATTCTTACAAAGATTTACAAACAGCGTACAGCATGGAAACAAGCCACTTGGCCCAGGCAGTCCGTGCCAGTGTTTATATTTCATCCAAGTCACCAACCACTCCTTACTTCTTCCCATACTCTTCTATTCCCCTCTCCCTCGTGTCAAGGTCTAACTTCCCCTTGAATGTATAGATACCATCTGATTTAACTGCCCTGAACAAACTATGTGTTTATGTGAGTGTTTATACAATTTTTTTTAGATAATTATATGACTTTAGCCCGTTTGATTGACCTGTTGAGGAGAGCTGGGAAACTGGAAGATGTTCCTCGATTCCTTGAGATGGCTGAGAAACACACTGCCCGAGCAATATCAGAGCCTGGATTTAATTATTGCAAAGGACTATACCTCTGGTAAGGAACTGTACTCTTGTGAGTTACACAAAAATAACTGAGCTTCCCCTCAATGTCTCAACTGAGGCACTAAAACCCTACAGATCACTTTTGTTCAAAATGTGACTTTTGTACAATATAGGAGAGAGATCAATAGCACCATCTTGTGGTGCAGTGATCACTTCTGCTTTGAAAACATGTCCAGTTGGTTACCAGATTTGTTTTTGTAAGTTACTGACAAAATGTTATATAACGTAATGCCCACATTTCTGTTTAGCAATTGAGATTGGAAAGTAGCTCAAATAAGAAATTCCAATGGAAACTTTTTTTTTTACATCAGGTGTAGGAAAATATTTGAGACCATTTTGATTGATTTTGTGGGTGAACATTTGGAAAATTCGTAACTTGTGAAAAGAATGTGGGCATAGATTCAGGAAAGTAAAGTCATATTCAACAAACTGAGGGTGTTTTTCAAATATATTGACTCGATGGTTGGAGAAGGTTGGATATCAGTGATTAAATGTTCCATTGAGGAACCATGGAATAGGGATTCAAATATTGTGCCAGGTAACTTCAAATGAGAAATGTAGGGTAGGCATACATAGGAACATTTTGCACAGGCTGTAAATCTGACACCCTGGGAGTTAGTGTTCTGGATGCTTTTGTTTTTAATATGGCTTGGTTGGTGAGGAAAACCTGCAACTTTCCTGATGAAATTGTGCGAATTGCTAGAAGTCAAATATAATAATTGCATTTGAATCACAATCTTATGACTGTATTCTAGGTACACTGGGGAACCAAATGATGCTCTCCGACACTTCAATAAGGCACGGAAAGACAGTGACTGGGGACAGAATGCAGTTTATAACATGATCGAGATCTGTGTAAATCCAGACAATGAGACTATAGGAGGTGAAGTCTTTGAGAACCTGGATGGGGATGTCAGGTGAGAAAACATTGCTTTGAACAGCATTGTTCCATGTTTAGTTGAAAAATTGGGATTAAAATTAAATGTTAGTTTCTATTTTAAAGTTGTGCACTACAGTTAATTCATAGTTGCAGCTTCAACTATGATAGTTTTTTTCTAGTACTATCAAAATCTGTAACAAAACATTTAAATGTTTCCAAGTGAATAACCAACAGCAAATTACATTTGTATAGCAGAAGTCGCTAGGAACATGCAGCAGGTCAGGCAACATCTATGGAAAGAGAAAATTAGTTACATAGATGTTTTTTATTTCAGATTTCCAGCATGTGCAGTATTTCGCCTTTTGTTTTACATTTGTATAGCGCCTTTCCCGTCGGGAGGACGTCCTAAGGCACTGGACAGTCAGGGCGCTATATCAGTTAATACAAATGCACTAACCTCCATTTATGTTGTGCCCTCCACATGGAGCTGCGTCTCTGAACAATGGCGTGGTGACGGGGGAAAGAGTTTTTTTGCTTTTTGCTGACTTCCTCCAGTATTGTTTTTCATGTGTAGGATCCATCGTGTTCCAAGGTCAACTGATTGCAAACACTGCCACTGCATAACACAGCTATTGAGAATAAACATGTTTGGCATCATCTTAAACAATTCAGGCACGAAGAACAGGATCTAGTCATTAATGTCCAACGTGACATGAACCTAAGATCCATTGCTCTCTGATGAACTGTGCCAAGCAGTGATTGCTGATAAGCCGTTGTTGGAAACAATCCTGTGCCTTTTACATCAACATTATTGTGAAAACAATTCTACTGTAATATTCAGCACTATATCTGTACTTGACCAAACATCAAATTCCAATGGGCCTAAACTGCTTCTTGCTGACGTATCTACTTCCAACTCACTTAATGAATTCTTGAACAAAGCATATGTTGTTTCCCTGTCAATTTGACTTCAAATCAGCAGGACACTAAATATATTAAACACTGAAAAAAATATTAAAAATCAAATTTTGTCTAATTATAGCAATACATTTTAGAAGTCAAATTACTTTGATCTAAGCTAAGGAATTTCTTGAAAGACCCGTCAGCCTAAAATGTACAATGAGTAAGATGCTTGAGAATTTCATACAGAATGTTATCAATTTTCATCAAAAGAGCACAGAAGCTAAAAGGTAATCAACATGAAGTTTGAAACCAAGCATCCTCACAAATCTACTAGAATTCACTGATGAGCTTTTAACCTATTTAAGAGGAAACATGATGCATGCTTTTAATTGAATTGTTGAACAAATGGTGGAGAATGTTTAAAATTTACGATTTTAGCTTTCAAAAATGCTAGTATACCCTTTCTTATCAAAGCATTTTTGTTTACTGAGATGCATTGTTTTCGAATACATCTACATTTATATTAATGAATGTTACTGATACTGTACACTTCATTAAATTATATTTGAAATTATCTTAAATTTTGTATGCTGCAGTTCCTTCCATATTGGTACTGTTTTGGCATAGATCACAATTATGTTGTTTTTTATGTTTTAAATTGATGTTGGCAGAAACTCAACAGAAAAGCAAGAGTCAGAACAGCTGGCTGTGAGAACAGCAGAGAAACTGTTGAAAGAACTTAAACCTCAGACAATTCAGGGTCACGTACAACTACGTATAATGGAAAGCTACTGCCTTATGGCCACAAAGCAAAAAACAAACGTGGAACGTGCTCTCAATATCTTCACTGAGATCGGAACTGCTGAGGTTAGTCTTGTGTTTTGAAGGTGCATTTCTAATTCAACTTATTAAGCTTTTAAGTACCAGCAAATTGCGAAGTCTACAAAAACTAGGATTTATTGATGCATCAATAGAAAAAAATTCTCTTTTATTACCTTTTAACTTAATTTCATGTTTTAACACAGAAAGACCACATTCCTGCCCTCTTTGGCATGGCGACTGCTTATATGATTTCGAAACAGACGCCACGTGCACGAAATCAACTGAAGCGAATTGCCAAATTAAACTGGAATGCAATCGATGCAGAGGAATTTGAGAAGAGTTGGTTACTTCTGGCTGATATTTACATTCAATCTGGAAAATTTGATATGGCAGGCGATCTTCTGAAACGCTGTCTACGACACAATAAGGTAAAGGGTAATATCAAATCATTCATATTGTTGTCGGGGAGGGGAGGGGGGAAGGAATAATGGGAGCACTAAACTTTTAAGACTCAGTAACATAGCGACGGTAGGAGACAATTCAACCCCATCAAACCAGCATGTGACCTCTCCATTATTCTTTCATCTGAACGTTGTTTCAGCAATCGTTTGACGCTGTCCAATGCTTTTTTTTCCAATTCAGTTTAAACTGTCAATGGGCTTCCCAAACCCACAGGCTCGACAGTTTAAGGTAGTCAGTGGGAGCATTTTTTAATGGTTCAAATACGTTTAGAAAATCTTGAGCGGGAATCACCTCCTGAAATGTTCAGAAACATCAACTGCACCAAAGAGAATTTTAATAATAATAATACTTTCACTTGGTTATAGCGCCTTATCACAACTTCTCTATTTCGTTTCTTTAGTCTTGCTGCAAGGCCTATGAATATATGGGATATATTATGGAAAAAGAACAATCGTACAAAGATGCAGCTGTTAATTATGAGATGGCTTGGAAATATGGTAACCACACCAATCCGACAATAGGTAGGTTCCCAATTAATGATAATATTCCTTGTTTGATCTGGTCCCTCATCATGTCATGAGCTTCACAGGATTTACTGTAGAGTAGTTACTGTGCTTTTCTTTTTAACAAATTAGTGTTCCTTACTGCAAGAAGATGCGATCAGGATAATAACTTTATTATATCAAGATGTGTGACATGACTCTGCCAACTAACCCTTGATATGTTTTTCAGGATACAAGCTAGCCTTCAACTATTTGAAGGCAAAGCGATATGTTGATGCAATAGACATCTGCCATAAGGTATTTCTTCACTCAAAATGTGTATTGCAAGAGTTCAATTCATAGAACTTGTTGTTCTATCCGTATTCTATAAACAAGGCAATACTTTCTGCACACAAATCACATAGCAAAATAACTCTGTTTTAGGTAAATTATAAATCTATTATCAATGCAAAGTTTGTCATTACCGTACTAGATGTAAAATGTTCTATATTTTACATTATAATCAACTATTATATTAAATCTTCTAAATCCACCATAATATATATTATAATCAACTATTTGTTCTGCCTTGGCAGGTATTGGGAGCGCATCCCAATTATCCCAAAATGAGGAAAGATATTCTTGACAAAGCACGTGCAGCCTTGCGTTCCTAACAGTTCTATTTAAGGCATCATGAGTTTCTGCAGATGGACATTGGTGAAGATTTTGTACATGTTGTCATTTTGATTCTGTATTATGTAATATAAATTGTTCCAAGTATTTATCATTGTGGGAAAGTCTTTTTTTTACACTTTATAATTGTTCATTTAAATGGAAACTGATACAGTGATGGTTTACTGTATAAATAGTTACTGTATAAATAAATACTGTTTTATAAACTTTTTCAAAATTATTAGTATTGTCCATACAAAATGTGAGCTAAAATCTTGCAGCCCTTTCTGGCAGAGCATCTCCAGTGGTACATAGAAAAGAAAAGGTCATTGATGTTATAGATAGTGGTTCATTATAGATGGCATTCTATAATGGATATCTGGGTGCACATGATTCAACTGTATTTTGAATGTTTTGTGGATATTTCAGATCAACTTCAGGTATCTAACGCTCTTGGGAGTTTTCTTGTTCAGGATTCAGTTTATTCAATACCAGTAGAACTGAAAAATAGACTAAAGTGAGTCACTAAGTTTGTAAAGGAATCACAGCTTCCAAGATTAACCAAGCTGAGTTGAATCATTTATAAATTTGTAATTCTCGCTAAAGCTCTCCAATAAAGTGGTCTAAGACTATTGGATTTGCTGAATCTTTTCATATTTTAGAATAAGCTAAATGTCTTCAGGTTTGAATAAGTATCCGGTGGCCTTAGAGTTAAATGGATAAAGTAAACCCTTAATCTCTTAAGAGTAAGGCAGCAGAACCAGATGGCAGATATTTGTTAGGTCAGGATATCAAAAGATGTGGGACAAAGGCAGGTAACTGGAGTTGAGGTACAGATTAGCCATGATCTTATAGAATGGCGGAACAGGCTCGAGGGTTTGAATGGCCTCCGCCTGTTCCTATGTTTCATGGGAAGGTAAAGTGAGTATTCTGAGAGAATGTGATCTATTTTTTTCATCTGTACCTTTCTTCTGATCTCGTCATGTCTAAATCAATTGATTTGTATATTCAGAACATTGACACGACACAATTTGGATGTCAGCCTGGCTCAGTTGGTAGCTCTTATAACTTGTGAGTCAGATGATTGTGGGTTCAAGCTCCACGACTTTGATTTCATTGCAATTCAACGCAATTACAATTCAATGCTGCCTCCAGTCCTTGCCAGCAGTAAAACCCAATGCATTGAATTTTAATTCCGATAATTAAGATTTCTCAAATGGTTCAGCACGTTTACACAGTGAGCTGTACACACATTGTGACACATCTCTGTGACTCATAGTTCATTCAGATGGGCATCCTTCAAATGAACAGACGAACAGAATCCTTGTTTTCACTAGCATGAGCATAGTATGCATTTCGTGAGTAACACACAATTCTAATGAGATTCCCAAAAGGAGACAATATTCTGATTTTTAAAAAGGGAAATCTGATGAGTTGAGTGTTTTACTGGTTAAGACTGCCCGTAGCCTCTTTCTGTTACTGTACCTTAAAATTCTATATTTGTTCTCGAAGTACATTTGATATAGCGCCTTATCACGTCGTCGAGACGTCTCAAAATGTTTCACAGGATATACTGTAAAGTGAATTGACTGGTAATACCTTACTGACTATATTATTCCCCAATGGTGTTTCTGCCTTTAATTGTTTGTCACTAATTCTGACTTCTTTGTGACGTATTTATTTTATCCTAAATACTGCCCTATTTCTGCACCATTTAAACATACCGATATAAAAGATGGTCAGGGTAAATTGTATATGTGTATCTGCTCCTGACTTGGTTTCTAAAGTCGTATTTACCAGCCTTTAAGTAACAAGCGGTATCATTCCTTAACTAAGCTTTTTAGCATCCTCTTTATATATATTTAAGATACCAGTGTATAGTGTACTTTCCTTATCTTTGTTAGTGAAAATGACCTGGTCAGTCAGTGTATCCCTGTAAAAGCTTCCTGCCCCGATGAATGGCGTGAAAAGGTGAGGAAGAATAAATGCAACAACATATACAGCAATGCAATAGGTGCCTGGTATTGGAGGTGTGAATGATAGAAAAAGTTGCTGATATAAATATGATATATATATGTTCTGTGCAAGTCATAAAAATAGTTTCAGTACTTTATAAAATATATCAGAGATGTATCCATTACGTTCTCCTAGCATTATATTTGCAAATGTTTTATGTTTATAATTCCGATAGTTTAAATAAATGAGAACTGACAATTGTTACTTTACGTGGCAATGCAATGGTCCAAATGAGAGAATTAATTTTGTTTTATTTACTCGACAAACATGGGGTCATTGTTTTAAAACACACACAGAAACACAAGTCTGGATACAATCCGTTCATTGTTCTGAGACTAAACTGGAAGTTTATGCCCTAGAGAATTATTGTAGTATATCTAAGAGATAAGATCAGTAGACGCAGAGACCAAAGTGAAATGTGCTCCATTCTGTTTTATAAAACTGTTTTTGTGCTTACAGTACGATCTTACCAGTTTTGTGTTCCTTTGCCACGTACATTTAACTGAATACTGATGGAGCTGTATAGATGAGCAGCAATAACATTTGTTTGCAGTTTGCTTAAGCCGCTCAATACAATCCAGTCACTAAGAGGCCAAGAAGGTATGCAGTGGTCACTGCAACTGTTGATTAAACTCTATGTGTGTGTGTGTGTGTGTGGGGCGGGGGGTGGGCTGCTGACAGAAATCTCCCAACAAACAGTGGCTTTTCACCCCACTGTTCAACTGTATTTCATTCCTTTGCTCTCAACTCCTTGTAATCTGCTGATGCAAGTCAGTACGTTTCTCGCTACAGGTATGTGCAAATCCCTTACTTACCATACGTCGCATAGAGAAATCTTAAGCTATATTTCATTTACACGTAAAGTTGGTCATGCAATCGAAAACAACGAAATCATTGCCTTTGGTAGTTCTGTAAAATGCTGGAGACCAGAACTGCGGCTAGCTCTGTTTTTACGATATCAGATGTAAGTAATTCACTGCTTTAATTTGAGAAATAATTTGTTGCTAAAATGCATTGCTGTGATATGTCAGACTGAAATAGGAAAATTAAGATAATTTCTTTCTTTGAATTATGCATTTTGGTGATTTAGGTTTAAATGGCCATGCATTCATTGCTTATGTTTACTGCAGAACAGGGTTTATATAAGGTCAAAAAGCTTGCTTTCTACTTCCTTTTTTTTAAACCAGTTTACCCCCTGTGTACAGAGAGGCACATGGAACAATAGGACAAAGCCACAGTCTAGCAGTTGCGCTTCACAGCTCTCTTCTGAATAGAGCTAAGAAATAGAATATAGAAATAGCGTGGAAAATACAAGTATTACATGAGCAATTTTATATTATGAAACAAATTCATATCAGAGTCACTTTTCACATTGACGTGAACAGCAATGATATGTTTATAATGTGTGTGTATATATATATATATATTTGTTGATTCATTTACTTAGGAAAAAGGTTACATTAACATTAACTTTCTTTTCAGCAGGAGATGTTGATGTATGTGGCAATCTACTCTTTTTAGTTTGGTTACTTCTTAAAATCAAAACAAAATGCTTGATGATATTTTTAAATTATGAAATATTTACAGTTATTGTTTATTGTTGTGAAGTTAGTGGAAGCTTTGGGTTAAGGTCAGAGAGTAATGTTTCTGTGAGGAATGACTTGCTGGGGTCAGGTGTAAATGAATGGGTACGCAAAGTTTAATGTGCGTTTGGATGCAAGCGGCTGAATTGTGGGTGAGCGGGAGATTGCGGAGAGTATGGTTGGGGAGCAGGGTGGGCAGTGTTCTGTATCATTATGTCACTTTCTCCTTGAGCACCTTGAGTCAGACACTTCTGAATTCAACAACTTAAGTTCAACAATTTAACAGTATAATCTTTCTGCTATCTTACATGATCTCATGTCTGCTTTACTGATACCTACATATCTGATGCGCGTCTGAGGTTAACTTAAACAGTGATTTCAGGACATCAAATCCATCTGAACAACATATTTCCTGAAAGATTTGGTGACTTTGCTTCTGGACTTGATTTTCCTAGTTCCACGACCACTGTTTCTGTTTCTTTGAAGTCCGGTACAAGTTTTGACATTCTTTTGAAATTATCTGCAGAATAGATCTGATTAAATACTGAAATCAATCCACACATACCACAAGTAAACCAGCTTTTACCAGCGGCCAAATTAACTTTTTTTTTAAACAGACTGGAAACGAACGCTCGCACAGTAAATGATTAAACCGGTGTAGAAATATTCAATAAGAACGAATGATTTATGAATTTATTTGTAAATGGGAATCAGTACTTGCAATGTTAAGAATGTCACTTTGAGCAATAATCGTAATAATAATAATAATAATGCTTGCATGTGATATAACGCCTCATCACATCTTTGAGACATCGCAAATTCTGCGCTTCACAGAATATATTGTAAAGTGAATTGACTGTATTTTGTGAGCAAAACAAAGCGATTACTTAAAAACACTGACATCTTGTATTTTGCAGGCAGGACTGTTTGAGACACAATAAGTGTTTTTTTTGTGTGCTAACTCACAGAAAGTAATAATGTTACGTAATACTTTTAGTGAACTGCATTAATATATCACCAGAACGTTAGTGAATGTGATTATTATTCAGTACAAATACAAGTTCTTTTTTACCGAATGAGTAAATGTTTTATTTATTATGTTTCAACGTCCATAGCCGCAAAATACATTTCTGTCGCATTGTAAATAAGAAAAGATATATATATATGTATGTGTACATACACACATTCAGCTTTCTATTGATATGGTAACTTTTATGTCAGGAGAATGTCTCAAAATGCTTGACCATGCCGACTGGGCACCTGAGCCGTGGGTGAGAGCTGAGGGAGAAGGGGAAAGATGTTTGGAATGACAGTGAGGTCGTTCGAGGTCAAGGAGCAATGTTCTGAGAGACCTTGAACAAGGAGAGGGAGGGGGCCGGAAGGATTCCAGAGTTCCTGAAAGCAGGGGGACAGAATGGTTGAAAACTCACCCGCCAATGCTGAGACGGCAGGGACTTGTGAAGCAGGCCAGTGTTTGCTGAGCCAGGGGAGCCATACCCATACACATGGACGCAGTCAACCACCATCAATTAGATCTCTGTCCCACCCACTCGAAAGATCAGATAGCCATCAATCACAGCCACCACACTCACTCAGTCTGTTATCTGAGCAGCTCGCTGACTTCAGGAAATTACTCAGTTGGCTTCAATTCAAAGTACCATCGCTGGATGCTGATACTTACAACTACTTAAACCAGGAGAGGTTTTTGAGAGTTGAATCAGCAATATATCTCACATGTCATGATATTCCCTCTCGTCCAGTTCATAGATTTAAAAATCAACCACCGCTATTTTTCTGAGATAATATAACAAAAGAGTAAGACAATTGTCCAATATTATTAAAACCTGCGTGTCTGGCGAGCCTGGTATATAGTGTGGGGAGCTGGTGATATAATCACCCACTAGGCAAGTTCCAACTCATAGAATTCCATTCCCTGCTCCATGTTCTGATCACTGACATGACAACTGGACTTAATCTTGCTTTAGGCTTCTCCTGGAACTCAAATGCTGAAAGTAGCAATAAGTAGTACCTCGGTTTTCGCTTAAACCGATGCTGCAAACTTTCAACTTGTTCACGGTAAAAGGATGAATCCGAGAAATACAGAGGTTACAATTTTAACACCTGAAAAATGAACAATTGAAGAAACCCTCTTCACGCTTGAGAAAACCGTCAGTAAAACAAAAGTACTTCAATAGCGAGCAATGTGGTAAGTTGCTATGTTCAAAGCTATTTGTGTATCTTCTGTATTGATAATATGTAATATATATAAAAATATGCAGTCACTACACTTTACAGTATATTCTGTGAAGCGTTTTGAGACTTCTCAAAGATGTGATAAGGCCCCATATCAAATGCAAGAATTATTATGATATTAAAATGTTATTTTCTTCATTCCACTGTTATCCTTAGCAAAATCTAAACGTTGGCTTTGAAAGCCTTTCTTCAGTGCTGCAGGAGATTAATATTACTTCCAGCCTCTGGATTTGAAACGCGATTATGGAAAAACTCATGAGAAAACATTTTGGGATGCAGCTTATTACAAAGAACATGATAAAAGTAATGTTATAATGATAAATATTTCTTCAAGCAAACAAAATAGTAAGAGGAGTTACAGAACGCGTTCACAGGAAGGTCTTTGGAATACCTTCAAGGGGGAAAGAAAGGTTAAAAATAGTTTTTATTGTTCCTCATTTACATCTTTGGGATATTATTCAGTTTATAATAGGCACTCCACCTTCTCCAGTTAACACCCATTTATTTAACTTAATCATATAATTGTTCACCTTCAGATCTGGAATGTAAATGACAAGGACTCTGGACTGTTTGCTACGATAATCAAACTGGTAACTGGAACATGTGCAACTCTGTTTGCTGTTGATTAGTACATCTGCTCACCAGGATATAGTAATTTACTCTTGATAAATACATCCTCTTGGAGATGTGAGGCTATGTGTGTATTTTTCAATGTATGTGAATCTGCTACATCCGCTTCCCGGGCGGGGGGTGAAACGTTGGGCAAGCTTCCTTATTCCACACGCCTCTGTTTACCTAACGTTAAGGAGGAACCTGGTTGTTTGTCAATTAGCGGATTGCTTTCTGGGGGTAATAAACCCTTCTTGCCCCCAAAAATGTTTGGTTACTCAATCCACGACTGTTTGTGGGACAGACGCTGCTGTGCTCCATTGGCTGCCGCGTTTCGCCCACAAAATACACAGTCAATTCGCTTTACAGTATATCCTGTGAAGCGCTTGGAGACGTCTCGAAGCCGTGACAGGACGCTACGCCAAATGCAAGGATTAATATTATCATTGTCAATAAAAAAAGTGGGAGTTCCTCTGCGTTAGTCTCACGATTAGCCCCAGTGCTCAATGCCCAGATTGGGAATGTGGGGTGTACCGCCCGCGCTTGTTGTGACAGTCATCGCCTGCCGTGCCTTTAAGACCTGGTGAACACACCTGGGGTTACAGGTGGGGGTGTGGGGGGGGGAACATGCGCGTTGGGCTCCTCTCACCTGAATGGAACACACCTTGATCCAACTGAGCGGAAGTGGAGCCTTCCTCACAGAGAGGGGGAGAGAGGGAGAGCAGCAGTGGTGCCTCTGGAGGAGAGCAGGTCGGTCATCACAAGCCAACAGGTTGCTGTGGGGCTGTGCACTGTGTGGGGCTGTGCACTGTGTGTGGGGCTGTGCACTGTGTGGGGCTGTGCACTGTGTGGGGGGCTGTGCACTGTGTGGGGCTGTGCACTGTGTGGGGGGCTGTGCACTGTGTGGGGCTGTGCACTGTGGTGCACTGTGTGTGGGGCTGTGCACTGTGTGGGGCTGTGCACTGTGGTGCACTGTGTGGGGCTGTGCACTGTGTGGGGCTGTGCACTGTGTGGGGCTGTGCACTGTGTGTGGGGCTGTGCACTGTGTGGGGGCTGTGCACTGTGTGGGGCTGTGCACTGTGTGGGGCTGTGCACTGTGTGTGGGGCTGTGCACTGTGTGGGGCTGTGCACTGTGTGTGGGGCTGTGCACTGTGTGGGGCTGTGCACTGTGTGTGCACTGTGTGTGGGGCTGTGCACTGTGTGGGGCTGTGCACTGTGTGGGGCTGTGCACTGTGTGTGGGGCTGTGCACTGTGTGTGGGGCTGTGCACTGTGTGTGGGGCTGTGCACTGTGTGTGGGGCTGTGCACTGTGTGTGGGGCTGTGCACTGTGTGTGGGGCTGTGCACTGTGTGTGGGGCTGTGCACTGTGTGTGGGGCTGTGCACTGTGTGTGGGGCTGTGCACTGTGTGTGGGGCTGTGCACTGTGTGTGGGGCTGTGCACTGTGTGTGGGGCTGTGCACTGTGTGTGGGGCTGTGCACTGTGTGTGGGGCTGTGCACTGTGTGTGGGGCTGTGCACTGTGTGGGGCTGTGCACTGTGTGGGGCTGTGCACTGTGTGTGCACTGTGTGGGGGGCTGTGCACTGTGTGTGGGGCTGTGCACTGTGTGTGGGGCTGTGCACTGTGTGTGGGGCTGTGCACTGTGTGTGCACTGTGTGGGGGGCTGTGCACTGTGTGGGTCTGGGCTTCACACACACACACACACACACACACAGCTCAGGTTAGTAAAGAAATCAGATCGCTTTTCAGCTGAATGTGCAAACACCTGAAGCTGAACACAGACACACACTTTACACACAGTAACAAAGCTTTCACTGTAGAGACAGCCTCAGCTCAGGGAACTTCTCTCTCACTCACTAACAGCACTGCCAGGTCTTTCGTGTTGTGAGTGAGTGTCTGTGTGAGTGTGTGTGTGTGAGTGAGTGAGTGTGTGAGTGAGTGAGTGTGAGTGCACTGAGCTGGAAGCTATAACCCCAGGGATAGCTTGCTGAGTGAGTGTGTGAGTGAGTGAGTGTGAGTGAGTGTGAGTGAGTGTGTGTGTGTGAGTGTGTGAGTGAGTGTGTGAGTGAGTGTGAGTGCACTGAGCTGGAAGCTATAACCCTAGGGATAGCTTGCTGAGTGAGTGTGTGAGTGAGTGAGTGAGTGTGTGAGTGAGTGTGAGTGAGTGTGAGTGAGTGTGTGTGTGTGAGTGTGTGAGTGAGTGTGTGAGTGAGTGTGAGTGCACTGAGCTGGAAGCTATAACCCCAGGGATAGTTTGCTGAGTGAGTGAGTGTGTGAGTGAGTGTGTGAGTGAGTGTGAGTGAGTGAGTGAGTGAGTGAGTGTGAGTGTGTGTGAGTGAGTGTGAGTGCACTGAGCTGGAAGCTATAACCCCAGGGATAGCTTGCTGAGTGAGTGAGTGAGTGAGTGAGTGTGTGAGTGTGAGTGACTGAGTGGAGTATAACCCCAGGGATAGCTTGCTGAGTGAGTGTGTGAGTGAGTGAGTGTGAGTGAGTGAGTGTGAGTGTGTGTGAGTGAGTGTGAGTGCACTGAGCTGGAAGCTATAACCCCAGGGATAGTTTGCTGAGTGAGTGTGTGAGTGAGTGTGTGAGTGAGTGTGAGTGCACTGAGCTGGAAGCTATAACCCCAGGGATAGTTTGCTGAGTGAGTGTGTGCTGTGGGAACACATTGTTAGTGAACTCACCAAGAAACAGAAGTAAATCACTCTCTTCCTCCTTTCCTGCTTGTTTTTTTTGACACACTTCATTAAACAAGTAAATATATGTGTGTGTGTGTGTGTGTAATATATAAAATGGGATTCCTGGCAATGAAATGGTTAAAGGAGGATTTTATTTATTTGATTTTGATGTTGCACCGTAATTATTATAATCGTTATTTATGATTATTAAGTTGGTGGAGAGGTCAGACTCGTTCCTTTTGTTCGTGGCAGTGATTCCTTGAGGGTTTCAGTGTGTGATGGACTTGACCGGTTGGCACAGGGGGAATGGAAACCTCACTGCAACTTGTGTTATTGTTCCCAGTGATTGCCATCTACTTTGGGAACGTGGACTATTGGACAATCTGCCCACACAGCATCTGCTCCTGATATGGTTTATATGATATGATCCAAATGTGTTTATTACAAGGTCCAGCTGAGCTCTAGTCAGGACAGTAACACTATGGCCTGTTCAATCACGATTTGACAACATATATCCTTGAGCCCATTGAGAATTAATGTTGCATTTCTTAGGAATTTGTATCCCAGTTTGTGGCTGAGCATTCATGCACCTGAATGCAATGCAATCTTTTACTTTTACTTGTCTTGTAGATTTAAAAGATTACTTTATTTGCAGTTGATTGCACTTTGTGTGTGTTTACATTTATGGTGTGATGTACAGTTAATAATAATATAATAATAATCCTTGCATTTGATAAATATAATTTGTATGTATAGGTGGAGTGTCTGTCATTTGAATTAATGCACTCCATTGGATTATGGTGAAGATACTTGTTAAATCCTATTTACAGGATATTTAATAATAATAATGATCCTTGCATTTGATATAGCTCCTTATCATGTCTTCGAGATATGTCAAAGCATAAGTGAATTGACTGTATTTTGAGGGTGAAATATGTTTATATTTAAAAACATTTGCACCTGATCCTGACCTATATCATAAATTTCATTAATCAATCGAGTCATGGGAGGAGAAAGGTTGTGATATTCAAAACTTAATTCAACTTTTATTTATAAAATCTTGTATAGAGCTGCAAGTTTCACATCGCTATTCATACAATAAAAGATACAGAAATGGAGAATAGTTAGGACTTTTAAAGCATGACTCTTTAAAACTCCTAATTGTATTCTCTGCGTGTCTACCCCTTTGATCAGTGAGCCAAGAACATACTCAAAAGTTGATAGTAATTTTGCTAACTTTACTTCCTATGACAATTTACCTAAAAAACGCTTTAGCATTGAGAACAATTGGTTCTTGTAGTAATAATAATAAAACGTGCATTTGATATAGCATCTTATCACATCGTTGAGACGTCCCAAAGCGCTCGTAACGTGTTTAACGCTTTTTTTTAATTTTCAGATTGAATATATTACTACTTCAATGAAATCTCACTACGTGTAAAGATTTGACCATTTTGTCACTCCCAGAAGGTGTTTTTTTTTAAAAAACTAATTTTCTACCAAGTGGATCTTGTAGAGTAAGATAAGAATGGCGAGCTTGAAAAGGCTCTTAAGGAGACAATACTTTACTTGGAAACTTCTATTTATCGCTCTGGTTTTCATTACGTTTTTATTGCTGATGCAAAGAGAAGTCATTGGGGACGCAACAGAAGAGCCATGGCTCAAAGAGATGGTTGAGAAAAAAGACAAAGTGTTGGACATTATGATGGGAGCTGTGAACAATATAAGGGAGGCAATGCCAAAAATGCAAATCAACGCACCCGTCAAACAAAAAAACTCTGAGAACGATGAGAAGCCCTGCTTGCCGGGATATTACACCGCGGCAGAGCTGAAGCCGTTTATGGAACGACCGCCACAAGATCCCAATGCCCCCGGGGCGTCAGGGAAGCCATTTCCTTCGGAGAATTTGTCCCCGGAAGAACAGAAGGAGAAAGATCTTGGGAACGAAAAACACTGCTTCAATGCCTTTGCCAGTGATAGGATTTCTCTACACAGGGACCTTGGACCTGATACCAGACCACCTGAGTATGTTTAATGTTTACATCTAGTTTCCAGTCGCATGTTATGCTGTAGTAATAATAATAATAATCCTTGCATTTGATTTAGCGCCTCATCGCGTCATTAAGAAGTCTCACAAAGCTCTTCACGGGATACACTGTAAAGTGGATTGACATTTGCACATTTCTATTCCATTCCTTAACTGGTTATGCTCACCGGTTAGAAATCACATGAAAAACAGAACACATTTGTTTTCAATTTAATAGCTTTAAATATAGTTTGGTCAGTCCAATCCGTTCCCACATTATTTTCTCTGTGTGATAAAACATAAATGGAATCTGGTATTTGTTCCTCTGAGCATTAAATACTGGAGTTGGTTCATGAATATGACAGACCTGAGATCGTATTCTGTAAAACAGGAAAGAAACACACAGGGTTTCAGGTAGTTATTCCACGTCATGCTTCTGTGTTCCGTTTAAAATTGTTTTGGTGATTCTTTTCTAAAAAGAGCGCACGATTAATAATCTTCCGAGGTTTAAAACGTAATTAGTTTCAATTAGTGCATGCAATCTATGGAACTGAGTTTTAATTGAACTGGAGTCTGTTCACTGAAACACGTATTGATTTCATTTGTTATTATTGCAAAGGCTTCTGATGAGACGTTAAAGTAAATGAACCGTCAATCACGGTTGTTTGGTGAAGAATATTATTAACATTGCTTCTGACTAAGTGTACTTAAATCAGGATCAAATGTTTGACCTTTTCCTGATCACACTGCTCCAAGGGGAGAAATAAGATGAAGAAACGTAGAGCTGCAATGAATATTTAATTACCCCCTCCATCCCCACCTTCAAATGCCGCCTAAAGACCTTTTTGATCGTGCTTACGGTCACCTCCCCCCCCCCCCGCCCTCTCCCTCTCCCCCGGCTGAGTGTCAGACTCCGCCGCTGTGTAGCGCTCTGGGACGCTACATCATGTGAAGGCCTCTGTATAATTGCAAGTTGTTGTTGTTATTTAAGAACCACATTTACTCTGTGTTTTGACGAGTTCTCCACGTGTTTCTCTGCACAGATGTATTGAGCAAAAATTCAAGCGGTGTCCGTCACTGTCCACCACCAGCGTGATCATAGTATTTCACAACGAAGCCTGGTCCACTCTACTCAGGACTGTTTTCAGTGTCATGCATACATCCCCGGCAATATTTTTAAAAGAGGTTATTTTAGTAGATGATGCAAGTACAGACGGTAAGTGCAAGCTCCACCACACTCTTACTTTCCATTGACGTGTTTCAAATGAGCAATTTGGTTATCCGTCATCCAGTAATGCAGTAATCAGCTGGCTCTGTAATTTGTACGGTACTATACACAACAAAAAGCTAAAATAAATATGTAAAAATGATTTGGTGTATAAAATTGATTAGATTTTACTGATTGTACGTAGACACTATTGAGCAGAGAATATGACTAATTTGTGAATTAACTACTATTACGTAGTTACATTTGTAGGCAATCGTGATGAGGATTATTGCTGCATCAATTTTGTTTCGCATTGAACTGTACCTGTTGGCTGGTTTGAATATAGCAGACAATGCATGATACCCGACATTTCCTTTACTAGATTACTTGAAGGATCAGTTAGACAATTATATCAGACCGTTTCAAATAGTTCAAGTTGTCCGTCAGCAGGAAAGGAAGGGGCTGATTACTGCACGGTTACTGGGAGCCTCTGTCGCCACTGGAGAGGTCCTCACCTTTCTGGATGCCCACTGTAAGTACAACAACAACTTGTATTTATACAGCGCCTTTCATCTGGGGAGTGTCCCCGGAGCGCTTGACAGTGGCGGAGTCTGACCCTGAGCCAGGCGGGAGAGAGAGAGGGAGGAGGTGACCGTAAGCACGATCAAAAAGGAAGGTCTTTAGCTGGGATTTGAAAGTGGGGAGAGAGGGAGGGGACAAGGCGAAGGGATTGAGGGAGAGAGTTCCAGAGGTTGCGTTATTGTATTCTAGAGCGCTTCTATTGTAGACTGATTCTGACCTTCGGGAAATGGGTTGTAGCAATTTCATGAATGGACATCAAATATCCAGCCTGGAAAAGCAAGTTGTTAATAAGATGGATATGTGCTTTATTTAAATGATTAAAAATATGCATATGCCAACCTGGGCTCTTATCTGTGACATGAGACACATTATTATTAATATTATTATTATTGACAACATGGTTTTGATTTTGGTGGGCGTTTTTCCACAATAATCGATGAATACACTTTTCCCCGTCAGGTGAATGTTTCAATGGCTGGCTGGAGCCTTTGCTGAGCAGGATAGCTGAAAACCACACAGCTGTAGTGAGCCCAGATATCTCCAGCATCGATTTCAACACCTTTGAAGTAGTAAAACCCAACCCATACGGACAGAATCACAACCGAGGCAACTTTGACTGGAATTTATCATTTGGTTGGGAGCAACTTCCTCTGCATGAAAAACAGAGGAGAAAGGATGAAACTTACCCCATCAAGTAAGTTACTTTGAGTTTACAATTGGCCGCTGATAGTTGCAAGTAATGGAGACATTATTTCACTCATCATAAAAACGTTGGGCAAGTTTCCTTACTCCACACACCCACCCACACGCATACCTCTGTTTACCCAGCAGAAAGTAGGAACCCGCTTGTTTGTCGATTAGCGGATCGCTTTTCCGGGGATACTAATCCCTTTTTTAAAAAAAACTTAATAAGTTGGTCGTTCAGTCCATGATTGTTTATGGGACGCTGCTGTGTGCAATTGGCTTCCGCATTTTGCCCACAAAATACACAGTCAATTCTGTGAAGCGCTTTGAGACGTTTCGAAGACATGATAAGACCCTGTATCAAATGCAAGGATTATTATTATGTCATTCGAATGTATCATAACTGAACTTGAATAATCAGTAACTCAGTTAAATAAGTACAAACTTTCTTTTGGAGTGAAATGAATCTTTCCCTGTGGTTTTCTATCTCCTGTCTCGTTGCTGAGTTGTTAACATTATCACAGTGTAATATGATAGTTTACTTGTCACTGATTCATTCAATGTGATCTTCCCCGTAACTGCTCTGGTGAACACAACTGGCAGATTCCATCCCACAGTCCCTTCACCTCGCTCCCTCCCTCGCCTCTTTCACAGCACGTCTTGAGTCCCTGCTCTCCAACCAACCGCGCCTTCGGTCACCCTCCTACCCCCGCCCTCTCCGTACCTCCACCCCTCCTGACCCCAACCCCCAGCTCAGGTCCAAATCCCTGACTGTCCAGTGCCTTGGGATGTCCTCCTGACATGAAAGGTGCCGTGTAGTTGTTGTTGTTGGGACTCTGCAGTATTATTGCAGTATTATTGAATTCGAAATTACCACACTTTAAACGTGATAACCATTTAGTGAGTTTTTAAAAAAATATATTATTGTGTGTAGTTATATGGGATAGTTCTGGTTTTACGAGGAGAGATGATAATATTAAAATTTCATTGCACAGTGATTGCCAAGTGATTTGTTCTCTGTAGTATAAAAATAGAACTACAGACGCGATCACACCATTCACAATGCTGTAAGTTCTGCACATTGTGCTGTAGTATCAAATAGTGAGTGATTTTTATGGTTTATTTGCAGGGGAATCTAGTGTGGAACTTTGCATCGATGGGGCATAATTTGGCTCTGTTAGCTGTCCTCTCTCTCACTTGCTATCACAAGGTCAGGAATTATGACAATTCACTGCAGTCACATCGAGAGCACTAAATTGTTCAGATATTGTCCTTTGGATGAGATCTAATCCAAGGTGCTCGCTACCTATTTGGTGGTCTTGTGGCACTATTTTGAAGAAGAGACGGAGTTTTTCTGATTGATTTGGGTTGAGGGAGATATATTTATTAAAGTCATGTGCTCGATGACAACACTGGCACGATAAGTCAAGATAACTGATGACGTGAAATGCTTTGAGATATTTTGATGCGATAACTATTGAATGTTTAAAATGTTACTCTTTGCTCTTCTGTTACAGATCACCAACGTTTGCGGGAGGGCTGTTTGCTATATCCAGTCAATACTTCAGACAAATAGGCAGTTATGACGATCAGATGGAAATCTGGGGAGGTGAAAACATAGAAATGTCTTTTAGGGTAAGTGACTGTTCTCAGAATTAATCTCACAAGCTAGATTAAAAACAATAATAATGCAGTCACTCAATCCACGACTGTTTGTGAGACGCTGCTGTGCGCAATTTGCTGCTGTGTTTCGCCCACAAAATATACAGTCAATTCACTTTACAGTGTATTCTATGAAGCGCTTTGAGACACTTCGAAGACGTGATAAGGCGTTGTATCAGATGCAAGGTTCATAATTATTATTTTTATTACCAAATTACAGGCTTCACAAATTTTTGGATGAAGAACAGCAGATAAATTACCATTACGGGTAAAATACAGCTGTTTCCAACAGCTGTATTTTACCTGTAATGGTAATTTATCCAAGAATGGTGCAGCACAAACTGGCTGGTTCGCTTATTCCAGCGGCACCCACCTGCACATGTTACTTCTGTGTTGAACTGAATCTCTCTCTGATATATTTACCAATATAGGTCTGGCTGTGTGGTGGACAACTGGAAATTCTCCCCTGCTCTGTCGTGAGTCACGTCTTTCGCACGAAAAGCCCCCACACATTCCCTAAAGGGACTCAAGTGATATCCCGCAACCTGGTGCGTCTAGCTGAAGTTTGGATGGACGACTACAAACGGATATTTTACCGGCGAAACCAACCGGCAAAAAAGATTGCTAGCGAGGTAGGCGTTTTGGACTTCAAGGACTTCACACAGTTTATACAGAATCACTTTGAACTAGAACGGGGGGATAGAAATTATTTTTAGATGCTTAAGATTAATAGACGTTACAGATTCAAACGTCTCTCTAACTTGACGGTTTTCTCTACGAATGCCGTACAAAGCTACCGTTGTTCGTTTTGAGTCTGTTGATCAGCGACTGTATTTATAGATCCATTTGCTCGATTGTCTCAGTCTGTTGCTTTAGTGAGTTCGATGTCACTTAATAAATTGTTTGATTTAAACAGAAAACATATGGAGACATCACCCAAAGACTGGAGTTGAAACAGCATCTCCAGTGTAAGAACTTCACTTGGTATTTGAAAAATGTTTATCCTGAGGTGTTTATACCCGATCTATTTCCCATTTATCACGGAGCGGTAAGTGCAAGTTTCCTTCACATCAAACGTGGCCAGAACCAATTAATTATGTGTCATTTCTCAGTGCTTTGAGCCTCTTCAACATTGTAGGCAAAGAGTTATTTTAAGTGAAATGAATGATTACCGAATTTAGTAAGTTTTACTTTAAATGAATGCTTGCATTTTTTAAAAAATGGGTAGTTTTGGATAGTGGAATGCACTTCATACAGTTACATTGTAGTTACAAAAGTGTAAAAGGGACTTACATTACACAGTTATAACCGTCATCTAGTTCACGTAGTCTTATCTCGTATCAGCTATTTATAATGTATGTGGAGATCTCGGTTGATATTTCAAACTAAGCTGTACCGTTGTTTTAATGTTTACCCTGTGTTAATTATGTTAACTCTGGATACAAATACATTTACTCTTAGATGATCAAATTTACTAAAATATTCGTGACTCCATTGCTAACCAATATATATGATTATATATTCTTTACAAAGGAATCAAGTGAGGAAAGGAATCAACAGCACTAGTATAAGTAGGCAGCTACAGTTCTAAAAGGATTACAATTAAAATGCTTATGTTTCTATATTAAAAAAGGTTATTTTTAACTTATTACCTTTTTTTAAACACACTGGCAAAGACTGGTTAAGCCACATGGCATGTTTCCATGCTGTAATTTTGTCATTGAAAAACTGTCATTCTATATAATTTGGTAATTAAATGAGTTATGTCTATGTTTTGTTTTTAAATTCAGATTAAAAATCTAGGTTCAGGAACGTGCCTTGATGCTGGAGAGAATAACCAAGGAGGGAAGGGCATAATTATGTATGCCTGCCATGGCCTTGGAGGAAACCAGGTAATTAAAGAGCGACTTTATTGAACAATAATAATAATCCTTGTAATTGATATAGCGCCTTATCACGTTGTCTCAAAACGCTTCATAGGATATACTGTAAAGTGAATTGACTTTGTATTTTGTGGGCGAAACACAACAACAAAATTACATTCGTAAGACGCCTATCACGTCGGGAGGACGTCCCAAGGTGCTCAACAGTCAGAGATCAGGGCCTGAACATGAGGAGGGGCGCAGGATTGGGACAGGGGGGGCAGGAGGGGGCAAGGCCGTGAAGGGCCTTGAAAGTGAGGATGAGGATTTTGAATTCTATCCTCTGAGGGATGGGGGGGCAGTGGAGCCGGACGAGGGTGGGGGTGATAGGGTCAGAGAGCCTGGTGTGGCAAATGTGGCAAACACGGCAGCCAATTGCACACAGCAGTATCCCACAAACAGTCGTGGATTGAGTGACTGATTTTTGTATTTGGCAGATATGTTGGCCAGGACACTGGAAGAGAAACTCCCTTCTCTTTTCACAAAGCGCCATGGGAATCCTTAACGTCTGTCCACCCGAGCAGGCTATGTGAAAACCTCTTTTGAACCAGGGATAAAATATTGAGCCTTTTTTACAATAAGAAAAAAAATGATAACTTTCTGATACAACAACAACGTGTATTGATATAGTGCCCTTCACACAGGGTAGCATCACGGAGCACTTGACGGTGGTGGAGTCTGACCCACAAAGAATTGAACCCATCATCAGATGGTCCCAAATCTAGTGAATTTCCCGATATAATACCAAGGTAGCAAAATACCAACTTCATTCCAAACTTTGAAAGCAGCCAGAATTGTTACCAGGAATTCTCGGCTTTACTAGGGTCATGTTTACTGTGGAAACTTACTGTTACTGGAAACTGCAGACAACATACACTTATTTTCCTTTTTTTTATATATATATATAACTAAAAAAAATGAAGTGTTCCATTTCCTCACAAGAACATTCCAAAGCTTGATAAGAAACAGAGGGGAAAAGTCTCACATTGTAAATGGGACAACGAAAAGCAGTGCTTTAGGGTTAGTGTTTTGGTGGCTGACATAACACCACAGAGAAGATATAGATCTAAAACAGAAAAAATAATAACAATCCTTGCTTTTGATATAGCACCTTATGACATCTTCGAGACGTCTCAAAGCGCTTCACGGGATACACTGTAAAGTGACAGTATATTTTGTGGGCGAAAGATAGAAATGGTGGATGAAGTTGAAACTTTTTAAACTGCTCAATGTGATGATTGTGATCAGAGGTGTTTATCCCATCGACCACCTAAAATGTGACAAATTTAGCATCATAGACATTTTGAATGCAAAGGCAGGCCATTTGGCCCATCACCATTTGCTACAGTCCAGCTCTTGTTCTTGATATTCAATCCCACATCCCTTAATGCTTTTTACGTCTCAGGTACATATATAATTCTTTCTGATTGAGTGATGGTAATAGATTCCAGACCCCAACAACCATCTGAATGCACCCAGTAATAATGAGGCAAATTCATAAACCATTAAGGAATTCGATAAGATGGATGTTGACTGGATTTTTTCCCCCCCATAAAAACCGGGATAAGTACATAATTGGCAAAGTAAGGTTACGTGCCTGTAATATTTGGAATAGTTCAGTAAAAACACTGCTCCCAACTGAAATGTTCCAAGTAGATAATAATAATAATCTTTGCATTTGTTACAGCGCCTTATCATGTCTTCGAGACGTCTCAAAGCGCTTCACAGAATTTCCTGTAAAGGGAATTGATGATGTGTTTTGTGGACAAAACAAAAGATTGCTGCTTCAGTGAGGAGATATGCATTAAGGAATATGTTAGCTGGATAATAGTTCAGTGGCAGGGAGAGATGAAAAGGTGGAGTGCATTATGAAAGAGTGACTGGTGACAGGGAGAGATATATTGACTAAATAACCTTTTCCATTCCATGCTTATGCTTTTATGAAGTTTATTTCGCTAGATTTATCCCATTTGGAATCTTTTCAAGGTTAAAAGTTTTTCCTTTGTGGGGCGGGGAAACATTCAAAATGGAAAAAAAAGAGACATGGAAATGTGAAAACCATAAAAAGGAAAAGTACCAGAACTGAGGAGAAACCATTAATAATAATAATCCTTGCATTTGATATAGCGCTTTTCACGTCGGGAGGACGTCCCAAAGCGCTTCACAGAACACACTGTAAAGTGAATTGACTGTATATTTGTGGGCGAACGCGGCAGCCAATTGCGCACAGCAATGTCCCACAAACAGTCGTAGATTGAAAATGAACAATTTATTATTGTTTTTTGGTTTTTGGAGGGATTATTATTAGGCTCTGTGTGGAGTAAGGAAACTTGCCCAAGGTTTCGCCCTCTGCCTGGAATTGAACTCAGGTCTCTCGCTTGCAAAGCGAGTGCTCTAACCACTGAGCTACAGGACTCCACGTGATTACAGTGAGAAACCCACTTCCCAGTGAGAAATGATCTTTCCTCCCTCCCCCCCACACTCTCTCTCCCTCTCACCATCACAGTGGATCAAATTTCCTGCTTTGTAAAAGCAAGTTTCCCTACTCCACACGCCTTGTTTACCAGCAGTCAGTCAGTAGGAACCCGGTTGTTCGTCAATTTGTAAATCGCTTTTCCGAGGGTAATAATCCGTTCAAAATTAAAAACAAATACACTTTGCTGTTAAGCGCTTTGAGGTATCTCAACGATAAGGCGCTATAATCAAAGGCGAGGATTGTTATTATTATGTGCCCATGTGAATTTTAAGATCCCGCGTTCACCTCAGGCGTTAGGTTGCTAACACTTACGCTTCCTGTTTATTCTTCTCAAGTACTTTGAATATACGCACACCCACGAAATCCGTCACAACATTGACAAGGAGTTGTGCATTCATAATCTACAAGGGGCAGCAATGCTTGAAGAATGTGCACGTAAAGGTCAAAAGACTGTGGTCTCACCACAGCAGACGTGGGAAGTTCAGGTAATATTACTTACAATCCATTAAATTTAATTTGCGATCCTTCAGTTTTGCTTTTTAACGTTGCGGAAATCAATGTGTGTTTAACCGGGTTAATTCGCTTTCTAAGGTTTATTTTGGAACGGTAATAACCATCATTAAAAGTACAGCACTTATATTGCCGATTTGTACCTGTCCCCAAAAAAATATTACGGTGGGAAATCTATTTGGTCACCTTCTTGCTATTTTGTTTGAATTTTTCGAAACAAGGTGAAAGTTGATGCTGAAGTCCTTTCCGATTATGATTTCTATTACAGGACGCTCAACTAGTAAATCCTGCTTCAAACCTGTGCCTGGCTACAAGAGAGGGGAAACCTTACATAGCGCCATGCAGTCCTTCTGATCAATACCAAAAGTGGATGTTCATCTAACATATAATATTGTTACTGAGCAATACACAGACATTGTTTTATCAAAACACGGGACATTTGAGTATAATCCAAATCATAACGTAAAATTCTTTCTTTTTTGAAAAAAATCCAACACATTCTCGGAGGTTGAAACGTAAGCATGTTGCACTTGAATATGTTAAATGCTGTAGGTCTCTCGTCTTGTGTGTTTTTTTTCCCTTCTAATGGACACTTTTGCCGGGGATTTTACTTGAGAGCATAGAAAAATAATATGTAGTGATTGTATGAGATCCTTCCCCCCCCCCCCCCCCACCCCTTTAGTTTTTGAGTCAGTGTTCAAATATCTGTACATTACTTTAACATACGAGGAGGGGCGATTGCGTAAATGGCTGTGTAATTCTAGAAACAAACGTTTAAATTAATTCACTGAAGAGTTTTACTGTTGAGAATATATTTTAGGGATTTTAAGCGAAGTGAAGAGTTCCCTCCGTTATGCATCAGATGTGTTCACAGCACTTTCATTGGTTGTTGTCCTTCAGATTCGATACGTTTCTATGGTTAAACATTTACAGAAATGGAGATTTATTGAGAATCAGGTTTTAAAGTGCCTTTTTTATATTAAAAAAATGTAATTATTGTATTGGGGGACCTCTTTATACAAAGGTATTTAACATCCTATGCTGTCACAAGAGGCTGTTAAATCTGTCCGCTCAAACTGGAATTACAACTGCAATTTTCAATAAAACTTGTTGACTGTTACAGTCGCAGTGAAAGATGGTCGTAACAACAACGTAAAGTCTGAAACTCAAATCAATAACATCGCACCCAGAAATGTTCTGTTTGGAGCAGGTCAAACACAAATTATTGAATTGCATCCCATGCCCCATTCTACTTCGTTCTATTACTTCATGTAGAACAAACTGTCAACAATGTTCCAAGTGGGTTCAGTTAGTTAAAGAATCCTCTCACTCGTTTGCAAATCCCTTCAGGCTCTGGCACCTCCCTAACTATTCGACCTGCTTACCCCCCACACCCGCTGTTACCGCTCGGCTGGCTCCGGGCTCCTGTTTGTCCCTCGTCCCCTCCGCCATCAGCCACTACGCCCCGAAACTCTGGAACTCTCTTCCCCAATCCTTCCGCCTCGCCCCCTCCCTCCCCACTTTCAAATCCCGCATGAAGACCTTCCTTTTTGATGGTGCTTATGGTCGGTCACCTCCACCCCCCTGGCTCGGGGTCAGACTCCGCCACAGTCAAGCTCTCTGGGACGTTACCCCACGTGAAGGGTGCTGCGTAAATACAAATTGGTGTTGTTAAAGAATTAAAAATTCACATTATTTAATCCTGAAATTTTGATTGTAGGACATCATCGATTCAATTCATGTCTTTATTTTCAGAATTATAACTTTCAGTTTCAGAGCTGAATTTGTTATTTGTTGGATTTCGCTCGTACCGCAGCTTTCATCGGTTCTCAAAATAATTTACAGAATTGTTCGCAGCTCAAACCAAAGAAATGCCAAGCAAATCAGAATAAGTACAAGATGTCACTCTTTAATTTAAAGGGAGTTATTTACTGCTTCAGAATTTTAACTGGCAGCAGGTTTTGATTAAGTAGGCATATTATTGTCATCAATTTACTTTACCACACACACTGAAAAAGTAAAGCACTTCAGTTCTTCAGCGTGGTGAAACCTGAATATCTATCCTCACCTCTTTGGCCCACAAAACACACAGTCACCACACTTTACAGTATATCCTGTGAAGCGCTTTGAGACATCTCGAAGGTGTGATAAGCAAGTATATCAAATGCAAGTATTATTTATAATAATATATTGTTTCCCTCAGGTTAGTGGAGAAAGGCATTTAACAAACATTTGTGAATTCTGTTCACTCATTGTCGAAAGGCAGAATGTTAAATCTCCCCATGTGATGAATGATTCCCTGATGTCCATGTAGGGGCTGATTAGTAGTTTGAGCGGTTGTGTTGGTGTGAGATGTTCCACACAGTTAAACCTTCTATTTGGCTGATTGATGGTAAAGATCAGAGCCAGGTGTCTGATTGCACACACATCGATTAGGTGTCTGAGACCCTCTGCGTGTGAACTTGACTGAGGTTTTACTTCTCCAGTTTCCTTCTGGCTTTTAAATCTTTCAGCCCCCTCCATCTCTCCTCCTTCCACCATCATCCAGACAAGATGGCAAGTTGGTTTCCAGTCCTCACCAGAAGGTAGGAAAGTCAGGTTTCACCAATCAGTATTTCTTTGTTCTCCATATGGTGTTTGCTTCATCTCTCCCTGGTCACCAAAGCCAGAGTGTGACCGTTTATATTCTACACTCCTCCATTTTCACCATTTAAGTATACGGATTGGGATGACTTTATCGTCAACAGTGTCAGTCCATCAGTTACTGAAATGTCTGCACTTGCAACTCTAAACTTATTACACAGGCAGAACGAATGTCTTCACCAGTGAGTTGCTAATGTTATGTTATTATCACTGATTCCAAATGGTTTAAATACTGTTTTTAAGAAAAAAATAGTGAGTTCATGACCGCTAATTTGGTAGAATGGTCATTGAACATCCTTTACATTGTTGGAGGGTGAAAACCTGGGTAATTCTGCTGTTACAGTGACTTATTATTTTATGTAATCCTTGAAAAGACAGAATCTAGTGGCTTGAAAATATACCCATTACAATCTTTTTATGCCCACTGAGATGAAATTAACATGAAACGAATAGGATATTACAAACACACAAGAGGAAAAAAAAGGTTTGCTTTTAAAAAGTTGCAATTGAGCAGAATTACCAAAGGCTAACATCAATTGGATGACAGAGAGGATACTTGATAGTAAACTGAATATAATAATAATCCTTGCATTTGCCCTCAAAATATACAGTCAAATCACTTTACAGCATATTCTGTGAAGAGCTTTGAGATGCCTCGAAGATGTAATAAGGCGCTGTATCAAATGCAAGGATTATTATGATGAGTTGGCTTTCATTACACGGTGTGAACTGTAGTGCAACTTGTGCTGCATGTGATTTAACCATCGCAGACAACTACTGGTATTGACATATGCCACTAATTAATCAGACTCCAACTGAAGCTCTGGTCTAGTTTGTTCTGGTTAAATCATTTTATATAAAATATCTCTATAATGCGATTGCCAAAGCCAATGTGTGGGTCAAAGTCAAGTTGTGTATATTCAGGAATGTGGATTTAGGTATTGTCAGTGTTCAAGTCGACACAAGTCTTCACTGTTTATGATGTGGTGGCGTTTCAAAGCTGTTGTCGTTCCCAAATATCTGGAGAAAAGCTTTCAGAATCCTCCACCATATGTTACCGAATACAGCGCCAAGCTACCAGCAGATTTACTAATTATAGTTAGTAACATATGCCAAGTCCTGACGAGTGTAAGAATGGATCTGAAAGTGGTGTGTCAGCTTCTGATTGCTTAACATTCCCCATGGCATTGCCTCAGTCTATTTAATACATCAGTCAATGCTTCGCTAATACATAGAGCATGAACATAACAGTTCAACTTCATATTATCTTAAGATACTTCACTGTATCAAATTGTTTAGGAGACAAAGCTTGGAGGAGGCCATCAAACATGTAGAATAAGAAAAGTGGCCAATGGTGAGAGATTAATTTTGAGGGGGGAGAAGACAGCCGGGTGTCTGACACATGCGGGAACCCATCGTTAAGAGTCTCCAAACCAAACAAAGAATTCCCTGCCTCCGACCTGAGAGATTAATGAAACAGCAAAACTGCAGTGAGGCTTAATATCAATATTGTCCATAATTTGAGTCACTTGAGATTTGATCTTGTATTTTCCTATGAAAAGTCTCAGAAAAGGAATTGTACTGGACACCATATTACCAAACTTTGTTGGATGCACAATTCATGTCAGTGTTTATTGTTCTACACGTAATATCTCGGTAATTCTGTATCTGTGCATTTTTTAGAAAATACTTTTTAAGAACAGCTCAGGTGTTTTATCCCCATTGTCGCTGGAAATGAAGAAACAACAAAAAACAAAAGCTGACAAGAATGAAAATTCAATTAGCACTGTATTTTGGCCTCATTTTCTACAGCAATGTGGAATAATCAAAACATAGAGTTGTCACATTTTGACCATCTAGAAGCGACAATTGCATGTGCAAAGAAGGCAAAGAACTTCTGAAACAATACATTTTGTCCAGTTTTACAGGCCCCAAGATGCAAGCAAATCCAACAACTGTGAAACCTGCATCCCCCCCCTATAGCTGGAGTGCAAACCATTGAACATCAGAGAACTCAAGCTCATTATAACACAATGTACAGCTCTTACAATTAGCACTAATACACCAGCAACAAAAAGATATTACACGTAAGATTTAGGAGGAAAGAAAACTCGTTTGCAATTATACTGTTGCAACAAACCACAATAAATACATCAAATGTTTGTATTATCATTCATAATAAATATTGAACGGATACAACTACTGTGGAAAAGCTTATTACAAGATCCAGGTTGAGTTCAGGTGTTAAGATTATGTGGCTTTTGTAGCCTACTTTTCGCTCGGCTTTTGGCACGACTAGTTTCATCGATTGACTGCATAAATTCTCGTATTATCCACAGTTTTTCTAGAATAGCAACGCAAGTGATGTTCATGTGCAGTTAGGTCCGAACAAGACAACTAAACTGTCGTTCAAATATGATTTGAGGAACTTCTAGTCAGCTTTTTAATAATTCTTTAGTGAAGGAAAATATTTAATGCAACTTCTAAAAATGACGTGCCTTTGTAAACGAACAAGGCTGATTTGGTTCCTTTAATATCTTTCATTTCTGGTCACCTTTTAAAGACACAAATAATGTTCTCAGCGATTGTGGTTTTGAACCAAATTAGTGCATAACTACTTTAGATTTGAGCTAATGGATTGAGCCAGCTGTTGTGATGGAATAACTTCATTTTCTCCTTGTGGCACCACTGACAACTGCAAAAACATGTTCAGCGCCAATCATGGGTAATGCACATTTTGCTCTTTCCCAGACCTTATTTTCTGATAGAAATGATCTCAATATGTAACGGGGACTTTAAGTCCCGACTCCCTTAACTGCTTTTGTAGAATTCCTAATATTCAGTAGTTAACCATGCCGCTATAAAAATCAGTTTGACATAGACTTTATGTACATCAGTGTTGCCCAGTACTGTTGACTTGTGTGAATTGTTCAGTAACTGATTTTATCCGTTGTCAAAAGTGTTTAGCGATTGTTAAACGTTAGAGAAAGTCTAGTCTGTGGCCATTTTCTGGGTTAGACCACTGTCTTGGGAAATCGGATTCGCTCAACTTGCAGTCATTCATGCTAGCTTTGAGACCTCACTCGATGTTGGTGCGCTTGGAAATGAAATGCATCAGGACTATCCTTTTATTTGAAGTGTCAAGTATCAAATCGTATTTACTTTTTCATAATTTTCTTCAAACGCTACACCTTAAAGTGTGACATTTGAGGTACAACACGAATGTTGATAGATATCTTGTAGCCTTAGTGCAGTGAAGCAAAGGACCAATTTGAAGTTGGCATCAATCAATCTCAAATTGCCCTCGTGTCAGATACTTTAGATACAACGTATAAAGCCAACTGACGTTACTCTATTGTCAAACTCTTAAGAATGTATTGGAGATCAGAGTATTGATAAATTAGCCACTTCTGAATTTCTTTGAGATTTGACTCCGAAGTTTAAGTAGTTCACAAATACGTTGACTTCAGGTGAAATCACGTCAAAAGTCTAAATGATAGTTTATCTGTTTGTTTTTAGCATTTCGGTAAGGCATAATTATATTAGAATGGGTTCTGCAGCGTAGGAATCCAACTATTTCTAGATGACAATTAGTTAAATCCAGCACCTGTATCAACCAACCACCAGTTATTTTCCTCTCTGTCATCACATGCTAAAGAAAGATTGAAGTGAAAGGAAATAGTACTCATGAATTTTACCTTCTCAATGCAGGACTTTAAACATGTGTCAAAATAAAATTTTAGCTATATTTTTGGCAGCTTTTTTTTTTGACTGACCGTAACTAGTTACAAGTCTTAATTCCAGCAAGTGACCATCTTGAGGTTGAGACAAACAGCTGATCACAGACTGAGTGGCTACGCTGCAGATTACGGAGGTAGTGGTGTGGTACTGTGTGTATGGTTGAAGGTTAGCTGCTAAGGCTTTTTTTTTCCCCCCACACTGCTACACAAAGACTCCGCGATGAATGGAATGAATTTCATCTAAAAGGGGATGGTGATGATTTTACATTTTGACACAACTCAGAACAAAGTTCAAGTAGATCAGTACAAACCTGGGTAAGGGAAGCCTGCCTCTGAATTCGGTGTCAGTGTGCCTGAGATGATGTGGATGCTGCCTGTGATGATGTATGAAATGTCAGGTGCAGAATTATTTTTTTATTAATGGTAAAAGCGCACTTGTGCTTTCTGAGTATTTCAGTTTGATAAATCCAAACTCAAGTCGAAGCACTTTGTGAACTGAATGCATTAAAATTAAGGGTCCAGTTAATAATAATAATAATAACAATAGCAATCCTTGCATTTGATACAGCGCCTTATCACGTCTTCGGGACGTCTCAAAGCGCTTCACGGGATACACTGTAAAGTGAATGTAGAGTAAGAAGCTACATGTGAGCTGAACATGCCCCAGCCTTCAGACCCCCACCTCCCCATCGCCAAACATATTATTGTATCTATTCCTTTGCTGTCTTTATTAATACAAAGGTTCAGACAAACCAGCCCCTCCATCTGCAGTTTGATTACCTGTGCTCTCATCCAACTTTGAGCTGTTGCGACTTTGACAATGTGCACTTATAAAGATATTTTTTCTGTCCAAGGGGAATTTGTAAATATTTCCCTTTATAGAGACATTGTCAAAACCACATCACTTTAGAAATGGCACCTGAGCAATGGCTTATTTACAGCATTACCCCTTGTGGGAATGTATCAATCAAAATGGACCGTTTCCTCCCGGAATGCTTTATGAAATGGCACCAATCAATGACTTATTGTAAGTTATAAGAACTTTTTTTTTCTTGATCTTACCAAAGCTAATCATCTCTGAGATCACATGATTGAAAACGTCTTGTAGTGTCAGAAAATATTGGCAATGCTTCACCCTCAGTGAGAAATTGAGCTATAAAGTAAAAGTTAATACTACTCTGAAGTGAGACAGCGGTTGACTTAATAAGCGTTTGCAAAATAAAATCAAGGTCTTAAAAGGTGTCATCTTAACCAACATTTATAGATGTCTTTCTGAGTTTTTTTGTAAAATTCAAAAATTCTTTTGAGCCCAGAATCCTTCGCATTTATCAAATGGCAAAGATAGAGCTTAGCAAAAAAACGGGACATTTTATTTCTAAGCAAAAGGCATCACTTTAATCTGCTTGCTGGAAGAAATGTAGTCCTGCTGCTCTTGTCAATGGTGGGAACAGGAGTGGAGCTGAAACATTTGGAGTCTGTAGTACTTATTGTCCACAATGTGATCAGATCGGGATTGGCAATGGAGCACTGAAGCTGGAAACAATTGGCACATCCTGTAAGATCCGAACCATAACCTCAAGTCTGGATAATAATAATCCTTACATTTGATATAGCGCCTCATCACATCGTCGAGACATCTGAAAGCGCTTCACAGAATATACTGTAAAGTGTAGTGACTCATTAAGCTGTGGGATGTGGCCACAATGAGCTTCGCATTCCCTCGGGTGTCTGGGCAGCGTTGATATTGCACATTGCTGCCTGAAAGTTGACCGTAAAAGAATGGTTCCATGATAAAAGTTGCCCACTTCCATCGTGAACAAAATAGAACCTTAACTCAGAATGAAATCTATATCCTAGCAAACCAAAGCCTTTTGTTGCTGACTATGGTGTTTCAGTCTCCTCTCGTGTGTGTGTGTGTGTGTGTGTGTGCACTGCCATCAGATGTGCTTCCCATTTTTAATTCAATAGGAATATTTAATTTATACTTTACATAATTCCGCACTCGCTGGCATAAATAAATTCACAGATGAAACGATAGATCTGTTCACAATTTTCACATGTACATTAAGAAGCTCCATCCGCAGGTGTTTGTGGCAAACCCAAGACCTTATTTGAGTTCTGTATGCAGTGTAAGTGCCTGTGGTATAAATCTTCACATCCTCCGACGATTAATGCTCGACTGTTAAAACGCTTCTGAAAGTCCCGTGATTGATTGAGACACTGGGATGTCTGGTACCAGAACACATCAGGTCCATTGCAGCATCTCATTGCTGTGGATAAAGAATTCGTATCAAGTCTCGCTTCCAATCCAACCGCTCTCTTTGCAGTCTTTTTTAAAAAGCATCGAAAGCGAATGGTGTAAATAAACCACGATTATTAAGTGTGTTTTTTTTTTGTTTGTTTTTCTTTTCCCTAAATATTCTTTGTGGACTTTTTTTTTTTTTTCTCGTTTTTTTTTAAAAAAAAGCAATACATAGATTGAACCATTTAAATTATGTATCCTTCCTATTCTGACTAACGGCGGAGGGAGGGTTGAGGAGGAAGGAGAGAGAGAGAGAGAAAGAAAAAGATGGAGAGAGAAATGAGCGGACTTTCAAACAGACACCGTTTCCACCACTGACGTTTTGATCGTCTCTTCGAGCAGTGCCTTGGCCTCAGGGAGGACAATGCTGTTCTCCAGTGCCTGACCGGGTGCATAAAGATCACTGTTTGGAGCAGTAACAAAGCTGTCTTGAGGGTGGCCGCTTAAATAGCTCGGCAGCTGTGCTGGCGAGCGGCTGGGCTGTGGCTGCTGGGGGTACAGCCCGTTACACTGAGCACCGTGCCCGTGTCCTGACGGGCAGCAGACGATGACGGAGGGGCTGCCACCAAAGCCCACCCCCCCCAGCTGCTGGGCGTCCTCCCCGCACTGCCCGGCGGCAGAGCCGAAAGGCACCAGCGAAAGCGATCCGTGCCCCTGACTCCTCTTCCCCGCGAGGCTGGACGACGTTAAAGCGGCTTCTGCGCAAAAAGGTTCCTTGCCCGGGTGGGCCGTGGTAGGGGGAGGGGCGGAGGTGGTGGTCAGGGCTGTGCCAGCGCTGCCCTCGACCTGATAACATAACGCCGAGGGGTAATCGGGGGAATCTTCCGGGCTGTCGTGCCGGGCAGAGGTCCCATCGGCGAAGCACAGCACGGACGAGAGAGGAATGGCTTCGGACTGCGTCCCGTCCGGGGCAGCTAACACCTCGCTGAAGCTCTCGGCTTTGCTGTCTGTCTCTTCGTCTGACTCACTGGCCGCCAGGCTGTGCAGACTGGAGTCTGTGATCCCACTGCACAAACTGCTGCCGTCGTCCTCCTCCTCCTCTTCCTCCTCCTCCTCCTCTTCGTCTTCCACCTGCCAGTCCAGCTCCTCCGCAGACTGAAGGTGCATGACCGCGGTTTCGGGTTCGTTCTCGATGTCGAAGCTGTCCGGCAGGGAGTACTCCTGGGCAGGCTGGCTCTGGCTCTGGATCAGGTGGCTGGTGTGAGCGCTCAGCTCACCCGCAAACCCGTTCTCCATCCCCACCACCTGCTGCTGGCTCTTCTCCAACTCCAGCTTCATAATCGTGTGCAAGAAGTGTGTCCGTACCCTGATGGGGTTAAACTCTATCCTCCCGGCAGTGTTACTGCAGCCTTCCTTTGTACATCCACACGGAAACGACATCCGGTCAACCTGGCCAGAAAGACCCAAATGTTGTTATCAGAATAATAATAATCCTGACCTTTGACACAGCGCCTCATCACGTCTTCGAGATGTCTCAAAGTGCTTCACAGGATACACTGTCAAGTGAACTGACCATGTGTTTTGTGGGTGAAGCGCAGCAGCCAGCTGTGCTGAGCAGCGTCCCCGCACACAGTCGTGGATTGAGTGACCAAATTATTATTATAATTTTTTTTTTGACGGGATTATTACCCCTGGAAAAGCGATCCGCAGTCAATTATTATACAAACACTGCGTTCCGTGTTACATACTATGCAATAGATAAAATGATAATCCTCACATTTGATATAGCGCTTTCACGTCGGGATTGCGTCACAGGATAGACTGCATTTTGTTGGCATATTTGGCAGTCAATTTATATTCAGCAATATACCACCAACAGCCAGGAAGTGAAATGTAATAGTATATTTGCAACCAAATAATGTCATCTCAGATAATCAACGGTAATAACTCCAGCAATATCTCACCTGACATTTAATGCCCGCCTGACTACAGGCACACAGCTCAGGGTCACAGTATATTCGACAGTCACACCCGCAATCCTCTCTCGATACTCTGATGGCCCGCAGTTCATGTTTCTCTTCCCCGTCGATCTTTTTAACCCCCGAAGCTCGTAATAACGCCCTTCGCTTTTTGGTTGGCAGCGGTTGTAAGAAGAAATAGTCATCAACCTCTGTGTTGTCCAGGTCAATATCATCGTCGGAAATGTCATCGAGAGTCAGCGTGTTCGCTTCCTCAGACTCCACCGTACCGTTTTTTGTCAGCTGCCAAAGAGGAGGGGAAAAAACACACCATTAACATTTGTCGTAGAAAGTTGCAGGCAATCTGTCTTCGTTGCTGTGTATCTCTGAATATTTGATGGTGAATTGGCTTTGATTTGGGCAGAGATTCACTGGCACATGTGCAGGACAGTATAAAGCTTTGCCAGCGAGGATGTTGTTTCTGGATTTGCACTCTATTTCATATATTCATTTTTTTTGGAAGAAAAGCCCTTCCCCTTAATCGACTAACAACAGGGTTCCTACTTACTGCTATGTAAATAAGAGATGGGTGTGATGTGCGTGTGGGGGGAGTCAGGAAACTTGCCTAAGGTTTGCCCTGCCCAGCCGGGAATCGAACCCTGGTCCTCAAAAAAAAACCACGAATGAATTTTATTTTACCTTCAGCTTGAGGGAGCTGAGCTTTTCCTCCTTCAGGTGCTCTTTCAGCATCTCTTGGTGGAGTTTCTCTTGTTCCAGAGCGAATTCCCCCAGTGTGTACTGCCGCACACAGCTGTGCCTGTTAGCCATACCCAACGTGCTGCCCCCCTGGCTAGGGACACTGGTGAACCCTTGGCGCCGTGTGAAATAATACACCGTCACGTAGTCAAAGCGTACATTTTTTGTCCTCATCCGCTTCTCTCTCTTGAGGATCGACGATGCTGTAAGAGCCAAACCCAAACCACAACCGAAGCCGTCAATGATTTGCTGGTACCGAATTTTTTTTTTTATCGTCCACGTTCTTACTCTTGTCCCAGAAGAAGACAAAACGGGACACAATTCCATGCACACGGATTTGACATTGAGAACTTTAGGAAAGGAGCTGATTGGAAAGTATATCGTCATCAGTCTATCGATTCTTTCAAATTTAGTACCAATTGCAGTCTTAACTTTAATAAAACGCTGATGAGAACAATAATAATAATCCTTGCATTTGATACAGAGCCTTACCACGTCTTGCAGACGCCTCAAAGCGCTTCACAGAATATACAGTAAAAGTGAATTGACTGCTGTATATTTTGTGGGCAAAACTTGCCTACGGTTTCGTATTGTGGGATGAGAATTTATGCCACAGTTTCTGGGTAAAATGTTATTCAGAGTGGTGAAATATGCTGACTATCACCCTCCAGTGGACAAGTTATTCAATGCGTTTTCCATCCGGCTAAAGAGACGCAGACTTAAAACTGCACTGTGCGATGATTGGCTTTAAAGACGAGCCAACACTGTTTCGCTGAGACAGTCAATAGATCCAGGTTTTTCTGTGAATTGAAAAGGTTTCTCATGAGATAATCATCCATTTGTTATAAACAATTGATTTTAAAGCAAAAAAAAAAAAACCTGCCTACATTTACCTCGTAGACTTCTGGACGATAACAGTTCATGTTCCAGAGATGTTTTACTTAGGAGGCTAAAAGGTCTGAGAGCTTTACTATAATAATAATAATAATCCTTGCATTTGATATAGCCCTTATCATGTCTTTGAGGCGTCTCAAAGCGCTTCACAGGACATACTGTAAAGTGAATTGTGATTTCATTACCATTTAATATTGACATCTTCATTGAATAGCATGATGCATTATTTTATTCGATTGGTGGATCGCTATTCCGGGGATACTAATCCCTTCAGAAAAATTATTTTTACTCTTCAACCTATCGCAATATGAGGAGAATGAGGAGAGGCAATATAAGCTGATGGTACAATCTTAAAGGGGGTGAAGGAACAGAGAGACCTGGGGGTCATATAGTAAACCTTTGAAGGTGGCCGGACAGGCAGATAAAGCTGTTAAAAAAGCACATGGGATACGAGGCTTTATAGGGCAAAGAATACACAAGTCAGGAAGTTATGATGAACCTTTATATAAAACACTGGTGAGGCCTCAGCGAGAGACTGGGTTCAGTTCTGGGCCCCACACTTTGGGAAGGATGTCAAGGCACTGGAGAGGGAGCAAAGGAGATTGACCAGAATGGTACCAGGAATGAGGGGCTTCAGTTATCAGGAGAGGTAGAGAAACTGGGATTATTCTCCTTGGAGCAGAGAAGGTTAAGAGGAGACTTAATAGAATTTTTCAAAATTATGAAGGGATTCGATTAGGGTGAACAAGGAGAAACTATTCCCACTGGCGGGTGGGTCGGTAACCCGAGGACAGCGATTTAAAATAGTTGTTAAAAGAAACAGAGGGGAGGTGAGGAGAACTTTTTTTGCACAGCGAGTTGTTGGGATCTGGAATGCATTGCCTAAAGGCTGGTGGAAACCGATTCAATAACAACTTTTAAGAGAGAAGTAGATAATTATTTGGGGAGGACAAGTTTGCAGAGCTATGGGAAGAGCGTGGGGGAGTGGGATTCAATTGGATAGCTCTTTTCAAAGAGCCGACACAGACACAATAGGCCGAATGGCCTCCTTTTGTGTATAATTCTATGAATATGAATTCAAAGTAATCAAAGTGGTTGTGATAAATGCACAAGTTTTATTTTGTTTTCAGGAATATGGGTAAAATTCTCTTTCGGGGATTATTTTTTCTCTGCTTTCCCCCCGGTGGTCTTGTATTGTGCATCAACTGGGGCTGGAAGACCTGCTCCCAGGCCACTGCTACCACTACTTACAAACGGCTGTTAAGAGAAGTACAAGACTGGCCAGAGGCCCAGGTCTCTCTTTCTCTCCTGAGGGGAAGCATCTGGCCTGCTACTCAGCACCTCTCTCCTCAGCGTCATTAGAACGGATGTGTTATGTAGGATGGTGGACATGTTTATTAGGCTTAATATGCCCTAGTGTTGTAAATTGGAGCTCCACGTTAATACCAAAGAGTTCAAATTGCGTCTAATCTTTCCATTTGATTTGGCGCCTTATGTCGCCAAGACTCCTCAAAATGCTTCACAGGATACACTGCAAAGTAGGGTGATCCAACCTTTTGGCTGCCGAGGGCCAGAATCCCTATTTGAAAAGGAGCTGCATATGCAATAGTTTGAGTTTCGTTTCCAGAAACACAACAACATTTACGTTAGAGCAAACTACTCATACCTAGACCCTGGCTTAACTTGTCACTGCTAGTGAAGTCATCAGTCTGTCAATGTCCCGGCTGCATTTATTGATGTATTTTTATATATTATATATTATATTATATTGATGCCTAACTCGCCTTATCTGATAACTCATCACTGAGCCTTTATCCCTTGGAGCCACAGGTTATCAGTTTATTGTATTAATATCATATCACACCAGACAAAATACCAAAAAATGCCTATATAATTTGTGCTATAATCCTTGTAAAATATACAAGGTGCCAAAAACACTGTACCATATTCAATTCATTGGAATTTATGGCCTAACTTATTCAGTGAATAAGAATGAACGCCACAAGGGTATAGAAAATGGTTTAGGATTTTCAATTTCACAGAAAAATTCACTTAAGTAGAATTGACTTCACAACTAGATTATTATATTCCCAGTAACAACTGCCACAGAAATATAACAAGTTCTAAACATCTGGAATAAATCAAGCATTTACCCTGCCTTCATTCAGTGTGTGCTTTTATATGGATCGAGTTCCTGCAGTGAAGGGAGTGTTGTATAGTACGTAGATTTGTAGAGCACTGGGGTGTTCAGCTCAACAGGGCCAGTCATGCATCAATAAAAAAAAACTGCTCTATTTTCCAAATGTGTTTTTGACCATTTTAAAATAAACAGAGGAAAGGGTTCGGTTGATATTGAGCAGGATACAAGCATTCCTATGAAAATCCAGATATGAGGAACGCTGGCACATACCCTAAACATAATGCGAAAGCAACAACAACATGCATTTATATAGCGCCCTTCAAGCCGGGTAGTGTCTCGAAGTAAAGAACACAGAAGGGCCACATTCTTCACGGTAAAGGTACCAGGAAAACTTTCTTCAAATATGTTCACCAACGTATGACACAAAAAAGTAACCAGCATCCAACCTGGCACGTATGTTATGTGTCCCTTAAATACGATGACAATGCAAGACAAAACATTTGCCATCATTTTTTCACGAAGACTCTCAATATTAAAGACTATTATGCAGGAAGCAATTGACCTATACTTCAATGATGTTTTGAATGACAAATCTCTTAATGTTAGGAGAAACAAGACTAGCACAGCTCAGCACCATGGCGGGGGATTGATTGATGCTGTGTTAAGTCAATAGAGGGCTTCCACTCACTCAGCTGATGTCAGACATGGATTCTTTGCCGGCTCAGGGAATCAGTATTGTGCTGATCTGGGATGCTCCGCTGCGTGAGGGACGCTATATATGTGCATGTTGTTGTTGCTGTTGGTCTCTGAGTGCTAATTCCAGCTGTCAGCCACTGAATCATTGTACTAATAGCTCATATTTTCCCAGAAATACATTTGCATTCGTAACGAGCGCTGAAATCTTTATTAGACTGTCCTTCCTCTACGAGAGTTTTCATTGTTCATTTGCTGTGATTATCAAATCGCTCTCACTACACTCAAAACGCTTGCGTCTCCATCGTCTCTTGTTATAGTCCATTGTGACTAACACACACCGTCAGCCACTCTAGGAAATAGTTCACAACCTTTTTACATTGGGAAAACTGTTTATGAATCAACCCAAGTTTAACAGTAGATCTGATCTTGCAAGAACCAGGAGAAACATAAATATATTTCTTACTCAAAACCTCAAGTTTGCATGCTTTGAATAGCTTTCTATCAAGATCTGAACTTTTCAACTACATCTGAGTAGTTGATTTGATAACTAGGCCTTGTGTTGTAAAGTATTTGTACTTCACATATATGTTTGTGTAAATATATATTTCTATATTTATAACTTGATCTTAGAGTGGGCGGGTGAAGATTTCTCTCTGCATTCAACACAAATATTTACTGTTCCGCAAAACACTTGCTGCTTTGAATAGTGTGAATACAAAATTGGTTAACGTTTATTAGTTATTTCTCTGGCCAAAAATATTCAAACAAGATTCCCGTGACGATAATAAACTAACCACAAATAATACGTTTCCAAAATTTTTGTCCAATGCAAATAGTTTAGCAGATCTCATAATTCTTGATCCTGGAAAAATAAGCCCATCTAGAGTTTGGTATTATGATTCCTGACTTGCGCACATAGTTTAAAGTGAATTTAGGCAGAAGCTGATTATATAAAGATATAACATTCCAACATGGGCTGATAATGGATGTAAAACTAGGATAAGGTCTGTGATTTTTTTCAAGCAAACTGTGCAATGTTTCTCCTCCGTCCCAAACACTTCACAATTCTATTTATTTTCAACACACCTTCTGACATTTACATCTTTGGGACTCGTTGTAATACAGACAGGATGTGGGAAGTGAACAAGGGTGGGTGTGGGGGAAGAGTGCGACCTAGGCTTACATGTAAACACAGCACACAACACATCACACAATACGATACTTACGGGTAAAGGGACTAGACGTGGAGGGGTTGACACTGTCTCCACTCTCCGCACTTTCACTGCTGGACATTTCATTATCCGACTCCCTGACTGAGGAGCAAGGTGATGCTCCTTCAACATCTTCGAATTTTCTCTTCAGAATCCCACTCATGGTGACGTATCAAACGATTAATAGCTGTAATCGGAACAAGTGAAATTGTCAGTTTGATATTGAACCCACAAACTGAAGACCAATATCAAAAATAAACTTCACAAACAGTTGAATATGACTCACGCCTGAGATGTTTCGCCACAAAATACACAGTCGCTACACTGTACAGTATATTCTTTGAAGCGCTTTGAGACGTCTCAAAGATATGATAAGGCGCTATGTCAAATGCAAGGATTATTATTTGTTGGATATAGTGTAAGGGCGATTTCAGATGGTGTACCAAAATATTGCAACTACACCCATGTAAAGGCAACAGCTGAACCCAGTGATCCACAAAGCATAAAGTTACTACTTTGCATTTATTTTCTTCACTATTGAGCTTCTGTGCACTGAAGCTGGAGCTCAGCGATGCTCAATGTGCCCTCTAGACATTGCCCTTTGCCATTCATTCTTGAAGTCAACGTCCATGATTAGCAAGAAATGGGTCAAGGTGCAGAGGGCAATGGTGTGAGTCTACAACCTGCACACCAGCGTTTCCAATTCCGACTGCACAAAGTCAAACCTCTTAAACGTTGAATGGTACACAGTTATGCCTCTGGATTTCAAAGGAACACATGCAGATCTCAGGCTCTCAGCATTAACTGTTTATTCACCGTTTGTAACTGCTGAGTCTTTCTTCTATGAGTGCAGGCTGGAAGGAATTGTTTGATCTGATGATAATAATAATAATAATCCTTGCATTTGTTACAGTGCCTTATCACGTCTTCGAGACGTCTCAAAGCGCTTCACAGAATATACTGTAAAGTGAATTGACTGTATGTTTTGTGGGCGAAACGCGGCAGCCAATTGCGCACAGCAGTGTCCCACAAACAGTCGTGGATTGAGTGACCAAATTATTATATTAAAAGAATCTATAAAAGAAATGGTTAATTTTTTGTGGGGGGGGGGATGATAAAACTGCTTATTTTTATTGCCACTGGAAAATGTATTTAAGACTTGACACATGTTTAAAGGGGAAGTGATTTGTGTGTTGAGCTACATCTACAAAGAGATGCGATAACAAGCAGCAAATTGGACCGGCAGTTGAGCTAATGTGGCTGCTGCCTTTTGGCTTGCTATTGCTGAGCCACTTTTCCTGACCTTGTACATATTGTTTACTAAGCAACTAAGTTACGCCAGATGTGAGGAAAGATGGTAAATGTGCTGAGCGGGTAAATTACAGAAACAACCCCGAATTTATTTAACTCTTTATTTGCAACTGCATATTTAATACTCCTTGCATTTGACATAATAATAATAACAATAATAGTAATAGTCTTCGACATAAGGCGTTATATCAATTACCTGAATGAATGCACACTTTCCACTGGGAGGGTGTGCATTCATTTAGCTCAGACCTGTCCTGTACACTAAGCTCCTAATGTGGTGATTAAAAATCCAGATAAACTGGCTCCTGTTCACAGCAGGACAGGGTCATCGCCACTGAACCCAAAGAGCCATTATTGGAGAGTAACAACAATGAGGGTGGGATTGTCAGAGAAAGACGGGCTGTGACCTGCACCTTCCACATCCCGGCCAATGAATAAAGACAGGGACACGATCAGCTGCCACAGGCCACTTAAATATTAACATGACTATAGTAATCTTGTTGTTGTTATGACGCATACTCACAACAACAACAAAATTACACGTGTACAGCGCCTTTCACATTGGGAGGACATCCCAAGGCGCTGGACAATCAATGTTTCGGACCCGAGCTGGGAGTCAGGGAAGAGGAGGGTGGAGGCCAGAGGGAGGAAGGAGGGTGACCGAAGGACTGGTCGATGAGTAAGGACTTGAGGTGGGTCTTGAAGGAGGCGAGGGAGGAGGCGAGATGGAGGGACTCAGGATGCAGTTCCAGAGGATGGGGGCAGAGTGGCTGAAGGCCCACCCGCCAATGTTGGGGCAGGCGAGGTACAAGGTGTGTACACAAACTCATAACAGATCTTAGGTGTGAAACCTTAGGCAAGTTTCCTTACTCCACACGTCCCTAGCAGTAAGTAGGAACCCGGTAGTTCGTCAACTGGTGCATCACTTTTCCAGGGCTAATAATCCCTTCAAAAAAATAATAATGTGGTTGCTCAATCCACGACTATTTGTGGGAAACTGCTGTGGGCAATTGGCTGCCGTGTTTGGCCCACAAAATGCACACGCCTCGAAGACGTGATAAGGTGCTATATCAAACACAAGAATTATTATTATTATTAAATGTACAAAGTAGCTTTTTAAATCATTTTAAGGTCAATTATAGTGTTTGAGGTACAACACTGATGTCGTGAAATGGGCTTTCAAACGGAATTCCGTTTCAACAGTTATTTTTCCAAGGCAGACGGTGATCAGTTAAACTGTTATTGAAGTCACCAACTTTGTGCATTCAAAGGTAGAGAGATTGTCACTGCAACTGATGCATGAACATGCAGACAGGAGGGCGAAGGCAGAGATATTTCTTATTAAGTCTGGGAGAAATCCAGTGGGAGTTGATAATTTATTGTACACAGTCGGATAACTTGCTGGGCTCATTTTAAGAATCCGCACAGCATGTGACGACAAGGAAAATCCTGTGAAGTTGATGAAAGTCAAACATGTTTTTTTCTGCTGAGTTTTTTTTTGTAAATGACCAAATGTTTAAGGAAAGCTTAAAAAAGTGATTTTGAAAATAGTTCCATCTTTGCACTAATTATAGTATATTATTCAAATAACAATCCGGGTATCATGAAATATTAGGTTTGCTATTTGCATGTGGAAATCAGGAATTCAGAAACTCAAATTTAGAATTAAGTACCTAATACAATAAAGTTAGATTGGTAACATTAAATCCCATCACTTTCAGCAGATAATAATAATAATAGAAATAATAATAATGATACTAATCCTTGCATTTGACATAGCTCCTTATCACACATCGTCTCAGAGCGTTCCACAAAATATATGGTGAAGTGAATTGACTGTATGTTTTGTGGGCGAAATGCAGAAACCAATTGTGCACAGCAGTGTCCCACAAACAGTTGTGGATTGAGTGACCAAATTATTATTGCTATTTTCAAAAACAATTTGAAGGGATTATTACACCTGGAAAAGTGATCTACCAATCGACTAACAACCGGGTTCCTACTTACTGCTGGTAAACAGAGGCGTGTGGAGTAAGGAAACTTGCCCAACGTTTCATCCTGCCGGGAAATTAGGTCAGGTCCTCTCGCTTGCGAGACGAGTGCTCTAACCACTGAGCTACAGGGCTCCACAAACCACAAAGCCGCATATGAACAGCCACCTGAATACTGGACATTTATTTTGAAATGAAAGAAAACATGACCACACTTGCCGATGACGACACAAAAACAAACACACAAACAGATCTACGTCAGTGATCTCGAACAAAGCCTCTATGTGTGTGTGTGTGTGTGTGTGCAAATGTACTAAAAGGCTCCACTGGCTAACAACATTGTACTGTACTCGAGGATGGCAACAGCAGAATAGTTTTGAAAGCTCTGTGACCCATACAGAAGTTACCAGAGAAGTCTATAATTTGAAAGCAGGCAAGTTCAGAGAAGGATTGGATTAACCAGCAGTACTTAATTAGAACCTACTGTTACCTCATTGGGTTTGCTTTATTTCTATTTCTATTTCAATTTACGGTGCTTTATAATTTAAAACATCGGCAAGATTTTCAAAGGGACCCTTCCTCCCCACCCAACATACGCACACGGAAATATTTAGATTGGAATGGCTAAAGGTTGGCCTATATTGGTCACTCAATGCACGACTGTTTGTGGGGACGCTGCTGTGCACAATTGGCTTCCGCGTTTCGCCCACAAAATACACAGTCAATTCACTTGACAATATATTCTGTGAAGCGCTTTGAGACGTCTCGAAGATGTGAAAAGCGCTGTATCAAATGCAAGGATTATTATTATTATGTGATAAGGCGGTATGTCAATTGTAAGGATTATTATTGTATTTTGGGTTAATTCACAGTGAATTGATCAGGCTAGCCTCCGAGCCAGTGGGGGGGGGTGGGGGTGGGGGTGAGAGGTGACTGAAGAATATAACTTATATTCTAGTTTTAGGCTGGGTCTGGCTTCTTGAGTGTCTCTTGTTCCCTCCACTGCACCATCGGAGGCTGCACTTTCAGCCACTCCGCCCAGAAGCCTTGGAACGCTCTCCCCCAATCCCTCCGCCTTGCCCCCCTCCTTCCCCTCTTTTAGATCACGACTGAAGATCTTCCTCTTTGACCGTGCTGACGGTCCCCTGTGCCCTTTGACTGCCTGGTTCCCTGACCTGTCAAAACAAATGAAGGCGGTTTAATTTGCACATGGTATTGGGTGAGATCTGCTAATGTAAGGAGGAAGTATTCCTGGGGAGGTAATGGCAGGATACATTTCAGCCAGAGTAGAGTACCTGAGTCACCAGGGAGTCTGAGGAGATGCTCGACTGAGCGGTACTGAATTTCATTAGCTCCCCCTAGAAAAAAAAAGCCTGCACTGCACTCTTCATACAGAACAAAAGGGGAATCGCTTTTGTCCCCCCAGAAACCAAATACTGTATTTCCTCATTTACAATTCACTGACAGAAAATCAAAACACTGCAAGCAAACCTCTATAGCAGCCAAAAATACCCGGGTTTCCATGGAGACTAACTCAACAGTTTCTGTGCACTAGACACCGCTAGGATTAGGAAACTGCCAAAATATAATGAATGCAGCCAGTATCTGCAGCGTGACTCTCTGCTCTCTCTCTCTGCTCTTGTCTAGATCATTTTTTGCCTTGAAAATATTGTACTTGCTTACGATATTTTGGATTAAAGGTGGTAAAATTCATGACCTTGATGGATGGCTTTGTACAGAACGTACAGTACAATCTGTTATAGGTGGAGCAGAGAATAAATGTTCGCATTGGGTGAACGACAATCAATACACAGCTTTGGTTAGTCTTGAGACGTTTCACCATTTGATTCTCTGGTCTACATTCCCGACAGGTTTCGGTACATTA